ACGAGCCTCGGATTTCTACTTCTTCCGTTTTTCCTTAACCTTTGCGAATACTACCCATATTTCGTCCAACACCTACGTCTCTCCCCCTCGCCTCTCTCTTGAAAAAAACTTCTCCCCTCTCTCTACAAAAAACCTCCGCTGCCTCCTCCCCAACCTCTATTAACAGTGGTTGGGGGAGTAAAAGTTTTGTTTTCTTTCTGCCCACCTAAAAAAGTAGAATAATACACATCTATCCATTGTCAGTGAAGCCTCCGTACCAACGTCGTGTCATCAACATCAACTTTGAAACTCTGATGTCAGCAATTCGTCCCAATCTTCGAGAAATCAAAGTTCGGGTTAGTTCTATGTCGGTATCACAGATGCGATCTGTTGGTCTGATCTGTTTATCATATCAGTGGGCAATGTTGTGTTTTCTGTTTAATTTGTTTATATATTTTTGTTGTTTTTATGCTAGTGTTTTAATTCAATTAAGTGAGATTTTCCACCCTCAGTATGGATCCTGGTTCGAAACTTTACTGAGTGAATATATATAGTGCACCAACAGAGCCAGGTCTGTTGTTTGTCTTGTGTGGCTCCATAGATCTTGTTCGATCTGTTGAGTGCCAACGTCGTCTTTAATAACGCCTAGTTTGGTCCGAGAATTTTCAGTCACCGTGAATCTGTTATTTAGATTTGCTAATTAGAGTTTTAATCCGATGATTAGTGACCTACTCAAGTTCATATTTTTAATATGTTCCATTGTATGTACAACAATAAAATCATGCCGTTGGAGAATCCTTTCTCTCAGAAATAGCAAATGGTTGGTGAAAATCTTTTTTTTTTTTCCAGTTGTAATAGTTTAGTGACTAGTTTAGTGATTGTATTCTCCCGTCAGTCGTTATTGGACGGTTTGTATTGATTAGAGCTGGCTGATTTCTAGTAATCGTAGTGAAGTTTTCTTTCTATTGAAAAAAAAACAGCAAACCTTTCTGAATTTAGATCCAAAATGAAGATAAACATGACAACTCAGGTTTGATTAGTTTTTAATTAGCCCAATAGTAATGTACTTGAATTTTGCATTTGTTTATTACTTTTATTTAGTTCATCACTCATTATTATTAGTAACATTTTTTTTGTTACAATTAAATTTTTTTTGGTTATAATACTATTAGTAACAATGATACTACACGAATAAAAATCATTTTTATTAATGTAACCCAAGTTTCCAAACGAAAGAAAACTGAACAGCAACTAATACGAGCTACCTTGGAGCTTGAGAAAGAAATAAAAAGGTGGGAAAAAGAATTCATCCTTATGGGATTTCCATTTTTGGGAGAATTTGTTCATACACAAACTAGATGAATCTAGTGGCAATATATAAAATTAATTATTGGGCTCAGTCCTGAATGATGTCAAAACCCATCTCAGTTGGATCAGTCGCTTGAACTTCATAATGGATCCCATCCAACACTCTCCTCAACCCATCTTTTGGTGTTGCATACAACATTTTTGCTCTTATTCTTGATTCTGTTGGCGCCCTGTTTTAGTGTTTTTGACAACCGACAAAATCATAAATTAGTGTAATTACTAATAACTCAATCAACTATACCAAATTAATTATTTTAACAACATCGATCGTACACATTCTAAGTTTGCATTCTTTTTTTTTTTATTTTATTTTTAAAAGGGATCAATAGTAGTTCCCCACTTATCCCCGGCGTGACTTGACCTCGAGTCCTATTAGTTAACAGGTGAGGCGTCTCACTACTAAGTTACACCTCGTTGTCTTCTAAGTTTGCATCTATCAAAGCGAAAAGATTATTGAAATCATTGTAGTTTTACAATTTTTTGTCTTCAAAGTGTACAAAAAATATTTTGAGAGAAAGAGACTTGATGTGAGAACCCGGTTCTTAGAACCTCTCTGCTTAGTATCTTGGGCGAAATACATTTTATCTGGACCCTTTAAAACAAACTTAGGACAAATTAATCCCGTTTAACTAATAAACATGAAAAGGGATTCAATTGAACCATTTGGAAAACCTAAGGACTTAAGTAATTAAGCTAATCTATATAAAGGACCAGGAAGTAAATATTATTTTTCTTTCTTCCTATCTGGAACAACCGAGGCTATTCCCAAACCCAATTTTGCTTCACTTTCTCAATCTTTCTCCAATATTCAACCGACCAGCCCTCACCTTGTTCACCAGTCTTCACTTCATCGTCTTGTAATGGCTCCATCGTCCTTCTTCACCATGTATTATCTTTAACTTTCATCTTCCATCAATTCCTTCCATTAGAGATCGATTATATCAGTCAAAAGGAAAAAAAAAAAAAAGAAGAGAAGAGGGATTAAGAAGTAAAATTAAAAGGAAGAGAATCGAGAGAGGAGGGCCGAAAGTGAGGGTGAGTGAATAAGGAAGGAGCGATTAATTCGTTCAACAAGGGAGTAGTTGCTGAGGTGATTTAGGAACACTGAGAAGCAGCCAAAACAGGTATAATTTATGCCCGAATGATATATAGTTCATGCTTAGAAGGTTTGGAATTGATTAGAAGAATTTAAGGATCTGTTTGTAGTAGCTAAACCTTATGCTCCTTGTTGTGTGTTATTCTTGGTCTCTAAGGACTGTAATTAGAACTATAAGGACGATTTATTTATGTTCTGGAGGTATGCATGCTAGTCGCAAGGTAAAATGCCTGGAAGGAATTAGGAAAGATTCATATTTGATTAGCTATCTTTTGGGGGGTTCAATTATCATGTTTTATGGATCTTTTATGCATTTCTTTTCTTGTTTAAATCTTACTGGATTATTAGGGACTGTTTTGCTTTTCATGTTCTGCCAAAAGGCTATGTCGAACGTGGGAAATTTTGTTTGAAACATAGGACCTTGAGTAGTGTATTCTGAAATTGCCAAAAAAAAAAAAAAATCAGTTTCACTACCCTCTGTTGAGCGACCTTTTTCTCTTAGCTCGATAATTCTTTTTAAGGATTTCTTTTCTTGAATATCTTCTCCGTTTAGTTTAGTTTATTCCTGTTTTTACGGATCTTAAAATGGACTTGTAGATTGTCCAAAATCATCATTTGAACATCACACGCTCGAACTGAAAATCTGCGGAAAAATCAGATTCTGAGTTTCTGTTTAGGGTTCAGTTTCTCCTATATTTTGTGTCGTTTTCAGAGATTTCATTTCATGAATACCTCCTATGTTTGGTGAGGTTTATGTCAGTCTTAACGGTTCGTGAATAGGAGTTATGGTTGGTCCAGAAGCTCAATTTGAATGTGACATAAAATCTGTAAATTTAAGTTTTAAAAAAAATCTGGTTTTGGGGTGCTGTTTAAAGGGACTTGTTTCTCTTAGTTTCCAAACTTCTTTTTCTGATTTCTTTTGATAAAATTCTTCTCTGGTTATCCTAGTTTATTTTGGTTTTAACGGCTCATAAATTGGATTAATGATTTGATCAAAAATATATTTTGAATATGACCTTTTGCCATGAGTTTTCTGAATTTTCAGAACTTAGGAAATAAAGGACTTAGTTGGAACCTTCTGTTCATTTCTTTGTGCACTCATCTCCCATGATGTTTTATACACTATGATTCCCTGTTCAACAAAAAATACATGATAGAATTTTTGGGCTTTAGTAATAGCATCTCAATGCTTAAGAGTTATGATTTGTAACTTGAATGAACGAATCTGGATATTCCAACAATTCTGTTCTGAGGTGCTGTTTTGAGGGGCTATTCTTCCCTCCTTGTTAAGCTGTCTTTTCTGAATTCTTTTGCTAAAAGTCTTCCTTGTTTATACTAGTTTATGATGGTTTTAACGACTCGTCGATCGGATCTTTGGTTTGATGGAAAACTTGCCTTGAACATGGCATCTTTGCAACCTTTTTGTTAAATATATATTTTTTCAGAATAATAGAGTTGAAAGGTTAACTTTCAAACTATGATATTCATGGACCTAAACTCATCTCTTATGAATGCTTCCTTCTTGTTCTTTCTTTGTCTATCAAGGTAGTACACCCTCCAGCTAGGTAGCATTAAGTAAGTTAACAGTGCTTGTAAGAGGAAGGTAAAGACTACTCAGGTGAGTACCTCCTCTCACGCTCTATATTGTAACCTTGTCTCCCCCTCTCAGTGCATGATGACTGTTGAGTGCTTCTGTGTTTTTACTTGATTGAAGTGCAAGCTTGGTGCTTCTACTTGAACATGTGATACGCGATTGTAATGGTATTATTTGTTTATGTGTTAATTGAATTGAGTTGCTTGCCCTTCTATTCGGTTGTGTACTTTATCACACCGAGAATCGCTACTGTCATGATCTGTCTTGTAAAGAATACTTGTGCATGAATTTTCATGAAATTGTTGAGACTTGGATGTGTACATTATCACACCAGTCTCGGGGCCCCGCTACTATAGATCGAATCCAACGGGTCGGCATTGGGTACAGACGTATGGATAGACTATGGATAGCTTTAGTAGGCGTGCACGAGCTACGAGTACTTGATTGTTGTGGCCACTTGGAGTGACGGGTAATTGTTAATGGCTTGAAACCTATTGTAAATGAACTTGAATTTATTGAACCTTGATTGGAATCTAGCTTGGAGGACGGCCTATTAGACCACATAGGTCTTTGGCAGTTTTTCAGTTATGATCCACCCGTATCCTTTCATGAATTTGTTGATGATCTTAGCTAAGGTCATCTTTTCTGTGGTAATGTGTGATAGACTAGTCTTTTTACAAATGTAGTTTACTACATCAGTTCGTCCATTGTACTTATTCAATGAGCTAGAATAATAGAACTGTTTACGCTCTTTCATTAACTAAAATAAAAATGGATAAAAATGAATTGTGTGAATAACTGCATGTGTATGTGACTTGATTACCGTATGGAGCGCGAGAGATTGGGAGTTGTTGTCTGAGGTATTCACTGAGCTTTTAAGCTCATTTCTTTAATTTTCTCCACCACAGGTTAGCAGGTGAGTTGGGACCGCGATTGGGCGTGAAAGGGATTGATCATATTTTCTTTTGTTTAAACATGAATGATGTTTAAGTTGTAATGGAGTTCCTGTAGTCAAGGCGATTTTGATATTAGATAGTATTTAATATTGAAAATATCATTTGTGTTAGTTAAATTTCCGCCGTTTAAATTAAAAAATAAATTTGTAATATTTAGTTGGTCTTGTATCACTGACGCCTTGGGCATTGTCCGGCGGGCATCTTACCTCATGAGCTTTTCTAACGGTCTTTCTACATACTTTAAAAAAAAAAATAGCTCGTGAAATATGGGTTGTTACACTTGACGTATTAAAGACAGAAAATCCAATGCTAGAAATGGACGATACTAGCATTGGATTCTGACAAATACGGGAAATTCCTTTTCATCTTCTACACCAAATTTTTAAAAATTAACGTCTCTTGTCGTAATTTTCTAATTTGGATAAATGGAAAAAGAAAAAGGCAAAATCAAAGAGGAGGAGGATAAGGAGAAGATACACCAACCGATGAAAAAGATTTTGCTTTTGCGGCGGTTGTCAACGGTGACAAAGTCAAAAGACCATGTACCTGCCGTCGCCTTTGGTGAGGAAAAGATCTTGCTATTGTCCAATTTCGGTTTTTTACTTTTAGTTTAATTTATAGAGTGAACCTCAAAACAAGTCATCAACCTTTAATATATTTTCACTATAGGTCATCAATTAAATTTATTTGTAACACAGGTTGCCTTACTAAAATTTTAATCCATTTTAGATTATTCTGTTAATTTTGGCCGTTAAATAGTGATGGAAATTCATTTTTCACATGTTTTTAGGTTCATGGGTATTTTTGTCATTTTTTAATTTTTTAATTTTTTAATCTTTTAATTTTTAATTATTTATTTATTTATTTATTTTTTACAATTCTTCTTCTTATACTTCCTAACTTATATATACTGGTAGTATAATTCTAAATTTTAAAAATTTATTTTCCTTTTGTATTTTAACTTCTAGATTATAAATTTTTTTAAAAAAGATTCAGAAATGAAGAAGGAAAATTCGCGTTAAAGGAAACATGAAAATAAATAATTTACCATTTAAAAAAAAAAGAAAAATTAAAATAATTAGCTAAGACAAGTTGTTTCTTCTAGGTTATTTAATTTTTTTCAACTTGATTGAATTATTTAATTATTAATTTTCACGTTTCTTATTCTTTTTCTTTTTAATAATCTACAAGTTAATATACAAATAACAAATTAATTTTAAAAAATGAAATTTGTTTGTCATTCGTATTTTAACTTCTAGATTATAAAAAAAAAAGAATAAGAAACGTGAAAATTAATAATTAAATAATTCAATCGAGTTGAAAAAAATTAAATAACCTAGAAGAAACAACTTGTCTTAGCTAATTATTTTAGTTTTTTTTTTGTTTAAAATGGTAAATTATTAATTTTCATGTTTACTTTAATTCAAATTTTTCTTCTTCATTTCTTAAATTTTTTTTAAAAATTTTATAATCTAGAAGTTAAAATACAAAAGGAAAATAAAATTTTAAAATTAGAATTATGCTATCAGTGTATACAAGTTAGGAAGTATAAAAAGAAGAATCGTAAAAATTTTTTTTTTTAAAGATTAAAAAAATAAAAAAATAATAAAATTACAAAAATACTCCTGAACCCAAAAGCATGTGAAAATAGATTTCCGTCACTATTTAACGGTCAAAATTAACAGAATAATCTGAAATGGATTAAAACTTTAGTAAGGTAACCTGTGTTACAAATAAATTTAATTGATGATCTAGAGTGAAAATATATTAAAGGTTGATAATTTATTTTGAGATTCACTCTAATTTATACTAAAAATAAAATTGGACAATAATTTTCGAAAGGAAGGAATAAACAGTAAAATTGGATAGGAGATGCCTGTAGAAGAAAGATAATCTCAATATTGAACTCCGGACCGAGTAGGCATTTCATGTCACACCATGCTATTGTGGAAAAAGTATACTTCTAATATGAAAATGCTAATTGTAATTCGTTTATTTAGCGGCGAAAACTGTTGTTGATAGTCCCGAAAGCCCGGTTTTGCCCCTATCCCATTTCCAAGGAACAGAAATTAGAACGTTATCCCATTCAAATCCTGCCAAGAATCCAAAACCACCCAAAAATATGAGCCCGGAAAAAATAAAAAAAAAAATAAAAAAAAATGTGAAGGAAAAAAAAAGAAGGAAAAAACCCAAGCAGCATCCATGTCCAAATCCGTCTCTGTATGCCACAATTCCGCCATGGAAACCATCCTCTCCCCTACTTCATTCTGTCCAGTTTTGAACCCAAAAATCTCATCTTTCCAATCCAAACTAACTTCTCTTCCACCCACCAAGATTCCCATTTGCTCTTGCCTCAAGAAACAGCCCATCAAAGAATCAGTCCCTAAGAATTGGCTTTCTCATGTGCAGCATGGTTTTGCAGCCTTAGCCATTTCCCTGGCATTGAACTATTGTCCAGTAGTGCTTCCTACCCAACCTGCTTTTGCATCTGAATTTGATGTTCTAAATGAGGTTCCATCTCAGGATGATTATGTATTGGATGATGCTGGTGTTCTGAGCAGAGTGACAAAATCTGACCTCAAAAGATTGTTGTCAGATCTTGAATCAAGAAAAGGGTTCCACATCAATTTCATCACAGTCCGCAAGCTCACGGTAAAAAACCAATCTTGCTTCAATTTTTTCCTTACTTGCAGTGTTACACATCAATTTCATCACAGTCCGCAAGCTCACGGTAAAAAACCAATCTCGCTTCAATTTTTTCCTTACTTGCAGTGTTATTTTTCACATTCAAGAATGACACTCTAGTTTCTGATTGTGGGGTCTGTGTGCTTTTCCATTTTTGTTCACTTGTTTGCTGCCATTGTTGCCACATTTTTGGAACTTAGGAAAATGAGAAAATGATGCTAAATGGGACGTAATTTTAATCTCTTCTGACCTAAATTTCTCAAAATTTGTAGAAGTTGAACAAGAAAAAATATTATGTTTTCATCCAGCTGAAGGAGAATTTTCAGTCTCTAATGTTGTATTTTAGAAAGCTGAAGAGGTAGTCCTGTAAGAGGGTTAGTTTCGTTCTAGTTTTATCCTTTCATGGTTTCAGTGTAATGTACTTTCTCTTGGTGTCCCTCATGAGTTGACACTTCAATTGATCTGGTTTCGCAATGTGAAGTTGTAGCTTGTGAAAAAATCTACTGAAAATCGACCTAATTCAATTGATGGTGGACTTTTGAAAGTTGTGTGTTTAAATGCTATGTAAAATCCAAGTCCTCACATGAAGTAATGTGTTTGAAATAGGAAATGTTATTGAAATGTTGCATTTTTCGTGTTCTGGTGTGTAGAGCAAAGCAGATGCTTTTGAGTACGCTGACCAAGTGTTGGAGCGTTGGTACCCGACCGTTGAACAAGGTGCTAAGAAAGGCATAGTTGTGCTGATCACCAGCCAAAAAGAAGGGGCAATCACAGGAGGTCCTGAATTCATCCAGGCTGTTGGTGACACCGTTCTTGATTCCACTGTGTCTGAGAACCTTCCAGGTGATTGCTCTAGTTATCTTTGTTACATGTCATTGCATGCACTAAATGTCATAATTCTCAGTGGTGCCTACCTCTATATAAAGTATAAAATAGATGGTGGGAAATAAGCCTCTGAATTTTGAGGCAGATTCCTACTTTTTTGGTAAGGAAAACGTGCAAAAATGAGGATAATCTGTTAACTTACAGTACGCCATGAGTAGGGGTCATAGTGTATACATTGTAGAGAAGAAGGAGAGGTATTACTTAGTGTTAAGATGCCTGTTCATGCGTCCTTTTAATGCAGTGAACTCCCAGTTTCCATATCTTCGTTTTAGTCTGTGAAATAAATCTTACCTATCGGCTATCGCGACAAGAATACTACTTTAGTCCAAAAGTGGTGCATTTAAACAAATATCATGTACTTTACATATCTAGAAGGCAGCATGCTTTCCAATTTGAACAGGTCTGAACTTCTAATTGTGGAAACATAAAAATCCTTCCTTCTGTTCTGTTCTGAAGTTTTCATCTGCCCCTTACTGCTAATCATAACCTGTTAGAGGCGTTGTTCACCTGTATAGCCTTGAATTTCTATATATATTTTTTCAATTTTTTTTTTGGTTAGAAAGTCTTGAAGTTTTCAGGAAACCAATTTACACGGATCAGATAAACCTAGCTCTGAGTAATGACTGAAATGTAACTTCTTCTTTTTCTTTATATAGTGCTTGCTACCGACGAGAAGTATAATGAGGCGTTCTACAGCACTGCCCAGCGTCTAGTTGCTGCCATCGATGGGCTTCCAGACCCTGGGGGTCCTAAAGCCAAAGAAAACAAAAGGGAGTCAAACTTCAAAACCAGGGAAGAGACGGAGGAGAAAAGAGGGCAATTCTCACTTGTAGTTGGAGGATTATTAGTGATTGCATTTGTTGTCCCCATGGCACAATACTATGCTTATGTCTCCAAGAAATAAATGGTTTTTCCCTTGTATTTCAGAGACGACCTTGTTTATGCTACTGCTCTTAGTTGAGCAAAACAGGAGAGAAATACTTAATGTACAAATTGTTTAGTGAGAATTTGACTGATGAGTCCTTTAAAGAGCGAATACGGAATGAACTTTTCTGCTTACAAGTCACAAATTTCCTCGTACTTTCTTGTTAGAGCAACTCGATATACAACACATGCTAGAAATACAGGCATTATCTGTCCTTTTTTGTTCATAAACACAAATTATTTAACTTATTGCAGACATCTTCTTTAAAGAAGCCATTGAACTTAGTACTTGGTCACGATCCTCATGAATGGTGATACTCTTTATTTGAAGAAGGCGTCATATTTACAATCCTAAGCTGGTTTAGGCGTCATCTCCAAATCCAGCTTCCGGCGCAATGAATAAAAGAATGTGATTGTGCAAGAATCTTTAATAAATTTGATCTTCTGCAGACACTAGTTGTAGAATCTGGGAATGATACTAAGTAAAAAGGTTTCTTTTGCCTTTCTAGTTAAAACTTGAGTTTAAGTAGATAAGGCATTTGGTTCGCGAAAGGTGGATCAGAGTACTTTCCAGTGAGAATTTGAGATGCAACAAAATGATTTGCAGCTTCTGTGTAATGAATTCCATCCCAGTTTACATACTCAGTACTATCATTGCATGCTTTGACGGTAACTGAAGTTCCATTCAAAACTTTGGTTTGGCCACAGGTAATTCGACTGTCGTAGTTCAGTGGAGGACCTCCATATCCACAGCAAGCCATTATAGGTTGCTCAAATCCTGCAAATCAGTATCACACAAAAATTTTAGACTTCTTCAACAACTCTTTCCAATGTGAGATGTTTCACAATCCTGAGGGAGAAAAATCACTAAGTTCTCAACTCAGTTGACGTGGAATTGGCCAAGTCTTTTAGAGGGAAAAATATACTCTCTTCGTCCCACAATAAGAGTTTTATTTGTTATACAATGGAGGAGTACAATGCATCAATTGCCACCAGTAATATCTCAAGGTTGTACCATTTAAAGCAGTACATATGCAATATCTTCTCCATAGAGGTTACATAGTGAAAGGGAAACACGTCAAAGAAAAGTGTTAGTGGATAAGTAGTCCCTTAACTACAAGGCTCAACTGCTTTTGTCGACTACTTTCAAAATGTTTTAAGATCAGTTTTCTACTTTCACTTTCAGTTCCATCCAATGAATTTTCGGGGCTAAAACAAGTACCTTTCAAATGATGTAACCAGAGATTAATTCTTGTTCAAGAAATTGGATTTTGAAAACTTAGTAAAAAGCTCTCCTGCAAAACCTTGAGCAAATTGCATGTATTTTGAACCCAATATTTTTTTGGCAAACGACATGTTTGTCGTTGATTGAAATAGAACCCAAAACTCAGAGGGCTAATTTGAACATAAGTGACAGACGAGAACAGATTTTTACAATGAAAATTAATGGATTCTTTGGACGACTCAAGCAGAGAAAAACAAAAAAATGGTTGCTGGTTGCTGAAGGATATAGTAACTTCTCCTAATGGGAAGCTAATCATTTGGAGTTTGGACCATGTCCGATTAAACAACTCCATCAAGCTTGCCCTTTAATCTGTACGTGTCTACAAAATCATTTGGCACAACCACTGGTTGGCAGGAGATCCAAAATGAACTTGCTGAAGTACTAAGGAACTGGCCAAATTATTTTGTTTATTGATATGTAAGAAAATGAATGCAGAAGAAAGGACACAACACTGACCGTATCTAGAATAGTTGGCAATGAGGTTGGACTTGATTGAGAAGATATCAACATATGTAACATTTGAGTCAGTGAATTGGCCGTGAATCTTCTTGCAAAATGCATAAAGTTGCAGGTTCAGAAGTTTGGCTGCCTGATTGTGATTTGTGACACATCCTAGTTCATCGAGCTTCGATGGGTCGGTCCCGAATTTCGCTACATTTTGTGGTAAACAACCCAGAGGACCCGTGTTGTGGATCCAAAAATTTCTTGCTCCTTCTTCATATAAAATCTGGGAAAAAATCCAAGAAAACAAATTGCATCATTGAAGCAAAGCTTTACGCATAAAAATGATTTAAAAGGAATATATTGGAGAAACGAAATGGTTTTAACTTTATACCTCAATGCCTTTCTCAAATTCTGTCAAAATATTTGGAATTGATGCCACAATTTGATCAAATGACTTGGAGTAAAATGCACCAGCGAGATCATTCTGGCCTATATCAAAAGTGTAAAGCGCCTTCTGAAAAACATCAGCGCCCGGAATGTACTTGTCTGATTTCTTCTTTCCTGCAAAAAAAAGTCGAATTCATCAATTTACACATATGAATCCATTGATATCCTTGCTTATACATCAGCATTCAAAAATTTACCTTTGGGCTGAAGGTCAAGAACTCTGTTCTTGAACCTGATAAACTGAGCAACTTGAACCCCAAATGAGAATGGACTAAGAGATGAAGCTGTTGCAGGCAGAATAGTACTAGCTGCCGCAGCGAAATCGCAACCCGATTTGAAGCTTGGTGCACCAATCGCATCCAAATAAGGATTCAGGTATGGAAGATCAAATGCATCCACTAGAAACATCAAAAATGTAGAAAAAAAGGATGTCAAGAACCAGTTTTGAATTTCCTCTTTTTTAACAAGCAAAAAGCCTTATCCAATTCCCGGAAAAAGAAAAAAAAAGGTGAAAAAATCTTACTCAAGAAATCAATGATCAAACGGCCATCACAGAACCTCCCAGCTGGTTTCTTGAAGTAAGTTTCACCATTTGGTGATAAAAGGGAATCACCAAGGCCAGCAACAAGTCCACCTGTGTCGGAATTGGAGTCCCCAAAGTTGAAAACTGCAGGGTAATTGAAGTCCATGGAATTGGTTGTACATGAAAAAATGCAGATCAAGAAGAAGGTCCAAATTTGGATTGCAGAAGCCATCTTCGCCATTTTAGCTTAATGCAAAACAAACTGATAGAAAAGAGAAGATGCCCTGCTGCTCTGTTATATATAAAAGGGAAGGGAACTGTGTGCTTTTGTTTGCTTCTGAAGTTATCTTCATGAACGGGAAAGGTCCAAAAATAGAAAGCTGTGTAACGTTAATCACGCTGTTTGAGGCAGATTAACACAAGTTAAGGTTTCTGTAATTGTCTTTTTTTTTCTTCCCCCTTTGTGACAGCGAAGTGAATGTTACATTTTGCAAGAAAGTAGTACTTTTCCTTCTTTGTCACCAACAAGTTGTTACGTCATGATCTATTCTGTATTGCAGTTACTAAATTTTTTATGATTATGGTGATTATGACGAACTCCATTTGTCAAGCAAGATTCAAACGAAACGGGTATTAAAACAAAATGGGATGGATAATATATCAGCACTTGTTTGAAAAGGGTTATGCTTGTTGATCTATTTTGAAAGGAAGCGGTGGAAATTCTAGTTGTTGTCGATTGTGATAATATATCAGCACTTGTTTTAAAATCTGAAAAAGGCCGGAAAGTTAATCTGGGCATCTTTGGTTTATATTCAATTGAAGCTTCTAATTATCAAGAATGGACAGATAAAAAAATGTCAATTCTGTACAGGCAATCGATACTGTTATGTGCAGCAGTTCTTGCTTCCACGGTTAGCAAGCGTTACTTTTTTCTTTTCCATATCACGGGTGAACAAAATGCATCATTCCAAAATCTTCAAGTCACAAGAATATTATGAACATTATCTTAAAGTAACAAGAAAAGCTATTCTTTCGTAGGAAAACAAACAAAAAAAAATGGACCCCAAATAATCCTGTAAATTGGACAAAGAAATAAAGTCTGAATGACGCATATTATCCATCGTCAATATAATTTAATCACTACTCATAATAGTCAACCTTGATTGAAGTACTAATTTAAGAGTAAAAACATTCACTTCTATTTCTGAATTAAAAGTAACTTTCTAAGGTTGATACTAAATAATTTTAGAAAATGTAAAGAGCATGGTTAAGGGGTTGAGCAGTTGGGGTGACCTGCCTTTGGAGCCAAGCAGGTCCTTTCAGTTTTAAACCTCACACCAAAGGAGAAATGAAACCTTGACCGCACTAGCATCTAAGGGAAAAATGGACATTACCAACTCATCCCCTTGTCAAGACCGCCACTCGATTGACAAATTCATATTCCCTCTATTTTGAAATAATAATCTTGTTATCAAAACTAAAAGACCTTAAATAGTGTACTATAGAGAGGACGTTGTCGGTGGGAGTATAAATAGTCCTATTCGATACAAGATAAAATATCATCTAGGTACAAGTTACAACGTATGTGAACAAATAATATTTTGTATATCAGAAGGCTATTGATGAGATATTCGCCAAGAGCTATATACACACATTCCATGATCAAGATAATCTGAATGGACATTTCTACAGTCATATTCGTCAAGCTAATCAGCTGAAAGAACTTTCTCTAGGATCACTTTCCAACTCATTAGAACCAAAAGGTACTATAACAATTGGTTAGAATTCACTAACTGGCGTAACACAACAAGTACGTGCTATATAATCTTAACTGTAGAAAGTTTCAGGACATAATATCTATTGAGGGTCATGTACAAGTAGATTCTTCTTAAACAAGGAACTTAACATGGCATGAAATATACTCATTTTACCCCAAATGAATTCACCATTTGTATAACCAAGGAACTTTGATGAGCTTTGGCAAGGCAGAACGAAATTTTCCAACTCCAGGTTGAAGAATATCGGTCCAAATTACCTCAGAGATGCCATTTTACTTGTTGCCTGGAACAACCAAGGCTGCCAGTATTTGAAAAGGGTGATGTATGGAATCCAACTAAGAAAACTTGACCCGCTTTGAGCTTCAATGTTGATGTTGCGACAATTTCTGGTAGAGCTCAAATGGGCTTCAAGAATCATATTTTGCTTCCTCAGCTGCAATACATAGCAAAGCCAATTAAATCTTATCCAACAAAAGTCGTGAATTTCATAGGTCTTATGCAGCATCTACAGCATTGAAAATACAAGGCAAAGTTACTCAGTTAAAAGTTACAAAGCAGAAATCCTTTCTGCTAAATGAAGATTATTATTGCACCAAAGCTAGCTATCCCTTCTGTGTTAGCTATTACTATCATGCTTAATAATATAGCGTCTAACTTCAAGTTAGTCTATGTCTTACCTCTTCAATCTTTGCACTCTGCTCCACCAAAGCATTTTGTAGAGATGAAATCGTCTTTGAAGTTATGTCTTCATAGGTCGATTCCAACTCTCCAGCAGAATTGGGGTAAAAAAGAATTCCTTCCAGCGTAAACAACTCTTCTAGTAAATCGACTACTTCTACTGTCAAATGCCCTCTCAACTGCACAAACCAAATATGAGGATTACGTCCTCGTTTTTTTTTTTTTAATTAAAAAAGAAGAAGATCGATTTCAGAAAAAAGCCTGGACAACAAAATTGAAAACCATTGAAGCAGACCTTGGCAAGTACCCTCTCGCATTGCTCGTCCTTATTTAGAGAACGAGCTCCCTGCTTTTTCGTGTCGGCATCTTCTGAGCTTGTGACATGCACTGATGCCTTTATGTGCTTTGCTCTGCAAGATGAAAAAGAATGGCGATTCATTTTCTTTCATTACTGCAACACCAAGAAAACCAGGACTATGAATTGGTAAATTAGAAAGAATACACAAGATCAAGCAAAACATTTCATGAAATAAACTAAAAAATGACTGCTTAGAACTTTGAAGTACATGCCTTGCTCCAAAACGAAGGGAGGAGAGGCTCTCCGAGATATTTGACGGGCTTGGAGAGCAGCAACACAATAAAGCAGTCTGGGAGTTACCTCCCTGTAAAATGGAAGTCAGTTGCCTCAAAGGAGTCAAAAGACTAAGCAGACAGAGATGAGGAAAGAAAACTAACAATTACACCCTGTAGGAGCCGCGTGAGCTTTGAGTCCCGATAAGGGATATGATTTGCTTTTCCAGGGGAATCACTTGTCAAAGCATTTATTACATTCCCAAGAGCTGAAAGGGATTTGTTGATGGTCTTGGCTTCATCTAGGACTTTTCCTTCGGCTGCAGTTTTTTCAACTTTCTCAGACCCAGCCAAGTCCACAAGGATCAACTTTCCAGATCTCAACCTTTTCAGAGATAGAAGACCATCAAAACCAATTCATGTTTTGAATTTGAATCCTTGGATGAATTTAATGAGGCATACCTTCTATCACTTTTGACTTCCTGCTGGATAGTGAACATGTATATACAATGGCTTCTGCTGCTTGACATATTCATTTCTGGTGTTGTTAAACTTAAACAAGATGCATGAAAATAGTAAAAACCATCAAGAAATATAATCTCACTGGCAATAAATAACCAATCACAAGAAACAAGTAGTAGCCAACTAAAGGATACGTGTTTCTCCAACTGCCCTGTTGGCTATCCCGCTCTGCAAACAATCAGCTACATTAACAGCTGCAACCAATTTATCTAAAATTACAGAAGTGACATCTTACACATAGAATTTGCAATGCCTCTGCAGAAGTAGTGACATTTATCTGTCGAAGAGAGAACAGAGAACAGAAGAACATTCTTGGATTAGGTTCTCCTCTATCAGTGAGCAAAGGATTTTTCAATGACATGAAAAGGCAGAAACAATTTGCAGCGTGTGATGTATATCAGTGATGAAACGAGCTGATTTTTTTCTTCTTTGATACAAAATATTTAAGGACAAATTAAAAATCTTCTTTGAAACAAAATATTTTAAGGACAAATTACTATATGTTCATGTCAAAACATTGTAGGGCTGACTATATGCAACCAATCAGAAGTTGCATTGCTTTGTCAAGGATTGAGGCAGGTTGTAGGATAGAATGAGTTCTGGTTCTCATAATAGTTGATCATACTTCCAAAACTAAAACAAACTGGCGACATAACGATGTCAAACCAAAGATCACCTCAGAACTACATCTAATTGGCTTAACCAAATCATTATGGATTTCCAAGCTGATAGTTTCCTCTTACATGTGTATTAGATAAACGAAGAGATGAACAATTAAAGATGCCTTGGGGCAAAATTTCTTACCTCTGTAGCTCCACTAAGAAATATGCCCAGCTGTTTATTCTCCTTAATCTTGATATTATCCTTTGATAAATCAAACAGGTCCCTGAGAGCAATGTTTAAAACCACTTACTCGCACTATCATGATAAAAATTTTGACAGGTTGGACAAGACCCATTATTGAGTTCTTAAACAAGCCCAACCTTACTCTTTCCATGTATATCTCAACCTGTAAGCAATGAAATAATAGTCAACTTTCACCAATTTTTTTTTTTTAGAAAAAAAAAACAGTAATTAATGAAAGATGAACAACTTATAATTCTTCAAAAAAAAGAACAACTTATAATCAGAAATATAAAGAAGAGTAAGAGGATTTCAAATATACCATCGACAATTTGATAGTGTAATCCTTTGCTTGATCTGACAGTTTAATAGCTTCAAAAAGGCCATCCACCACTCTTGGTAAGAGTCCTTTCTTCTCCACATCTTCAGCCATGATGCTAGGTCCCTGAAGGCATGAAAAAGCAATGCAGGTCCTCATTGATGATGAACACTTAAGTTTCTAATTTCCAGCAAATTTTGCAGCATCATTTTCTCACCTCAAGGCTATATGTCTTTCCAGCTCCTGTCTGTATAGATTGTACAAAGAAATCTCATCAGCTCAATGGAACTCCAGCAAGTCAGAAAACACATAGCTATGTCACTCCAGGAGACTAATGAGTTTATACAATCTCCATCTTGAATGACTATAAGTTATAATGCCAAAAGTTTTCTCTCCAGAAAAGAAATATGCTTATCTTGTCTATGTATTACTTGAAAATGCCAATTTCTATAATCAAAACCTTAGGGAGTACATCAATCAGTAGGCATAAGAAAAGGAAAGGTTAGCTGTAGCCAAATCTCCTAACATTGTGATGCGAAATTTAAAAGCCCAGCATCAGTCATTGATTGATGGAATGCAACAAAATTGGTTGGATATGACTAATTACACTCTGTTAAGCACAACAAAGGTTTATATGGATGAATGGTAACTCTCTCAAAAGTTAAGTTGGCAATATAATCCTTTCAGTCAAATCTGAAACAAATCATTTGAATATCTTTAAGTGGGAGGAAGTCGGCTAGCCCATCAACCTCTTATTTTCCAAAAAAGAAGGGAAATCAGCTTTTCTGACCCAGCACAGCAGATTAAATACCTTCTTAATGATACCGGACACGAACTAATAACACTTGAGCAACAACTGAACAATGAGAAGAACACGCACGTATTTTTTTCATGTGAACTCCCGATACCTAATCTATTCCTACCTCACCATTTTGAATGCATCCATTAATAAGTGTTGTGTATCCTCACCCATATTGACATCTTTTATTCCGCCTAGATGCATTGCAATTGTGAAAAAAGGTGCATGTGGAACTGGGGAGAACACAAAGAGCCACAATGCACATAGGCTCTATAAGTTTTAAGTAAATAGAATCTATCATTTAAGAGAATGGGGGAGTTGATATAGATATTATACTTTCAATTTATATATGATGAAGAAAGTTTAGAATTGCATCATCTATGCTCTGTGATCATAAAGTATCCAACTCATGACAGCTAGATTTAACACCAGCCCGACGCTTCTTAGTCTAGGATTCCCAAAGTTCTATCTCATATGTACAGTTTTAGCTTTAATTGTGATACAATGATTCGATTCAAATGCAACCCTTGTAGCTTCTAAACTGACACACACTTGTGTAGGATCTCATTGATAGTAAATGGTAAGATATGCAAGAGAACAACTTTGCTTCTCTACCACAGAGGCACAAAGACCGAATAAATTGGACCAGATCTGAAGAAAATCAACATGCGAAGAGGCGTATAGCATACAACCCAGACTGAACAAAGACACTACCTGTCCATATGTGATAATTGCACCATTTAGTCCATTAAGAGCCCCTGCTTGACAAGAAGAGAAAAAGTTCAGGCAACCTTCAAACTCATCGGCAAATCATGATTCAGCTGCTGAATAGGAAATCATACATATCATTTCCTAATCTGTTTCATCTACACAATCTAAAAATTCAAAAAGAGATCGTAGAAATTAAAATAGTCAAACAAGCAGATCAACTCCTTTCCAATGTTCTGAATCTCCTCCCAACATAAGTAGTCGAACACTACATAATCATTTAACTTGAATAGCCTTAAAACAAGAAAGATACCATGGCATATCACGTACCCTGAAGAATAGGCAGAGCCAGAAATTCGTAGACGTCAGCTTGCGGCGATCCTGGATAAAAGACTCTATCAAAACCGAATTCAAATTCCTCCTTCTCATCCTGTCACATTCATTGTGAAAAACAAAAAAATTTAGTCATATCACCAAAAAAAAAGAGAGAGAGAGAACAAATACAGAAGAAAAAAAAGAAGTTGGAATGGAAATATATATATATATATATATATAACAAATCTCAGTGATGGAGACCTTGATTACGAAGGATTCCGAGTCAACTCGCTGTATGCAGATCTTGTCGCCATAACCATCTCTTTCTTTCGAATTAAGAGGCCTGAATAAAGCGCAGACTTTAATTTTTGACATTTCAGCGAACAAAAACGATGCGAACCTGAAAATAGACCATAATTCAACCGTAAACAAAATTAGAAATGAATTTTGAAGAGTTAGATGCACATCAAAGCAAACTCACGTTTACAAGCTAGAAAAAACCTAGCCATCAAAACAATTGTTAACTCAGCGCCGGAATTCAAAAAGAGGATTAGCACGTTGAGCGATTGAAGAGAATTGGGAGTGAAGTTCTATTATGCTTCGAGAAAACGAACAGAGAAGATTGCTACAAAGATTTCATCATCAATGCAATTTTAATTTTCTGGATGAGACCTGAAATGAAAACACCACGAATCAAAAGAGAGAGAGAGAGAGATAGAAAAACCTGAATCGAAAATTGATGGAAGAAGCTTGAGAATCTCCCGCCAAAACAACACGGAGTAAATAGCGTGAATGTTTTAGGGGTCGAATGGATTTACAAAATAAGTACTATTTCTTTGAAAATTGAAAAGTGTTTTGAAAATATAGAAATACTATCGTGGATGCACCGCACGACCTGCGGTGTTTCGGAAGAATTTACCCAGCTAATGCAATACTGTCGAATAAATCAGAATATAGAGATCAAGTTTCAAAATAAGGTATTTATTCAAAATAACAAAAGTTAAATAAGGTGTCCTGATTAAGAATTTTTAACAGTTTAGATATGTAAGTGTTACAGGAAATTACTCCCAGCAATTCAAATTATGACGGTTGGTAGTTAAGTGGAAAAAGGAAAAAAAAAACAGAGACCTTGTAAAACACGGAAAAATTGGTCGATTTACCCAAAGGTTGACATGCGTTGTCAATTTTACCCTATTCTTTTTCGATTAGCCAATATTACCCTAAGCTATCCAACCGTTAGCCGATTTTGTCCAATTTGTCAATTTCCCTTTAAATTAACGGAATTTTGTTAGTTTTAATTACAAAAAATACTCTAATATTTTTGAAAATTATAAAAAGGACCCAAAAAATTTGTAAAAATAACCAAACAGTCCTTTTTACTTTTTATTTAATTTTTTCTGTTTTCTATTTCTTTTCACTATTTCTCATAACTATAAAAATATATTATATAATCTTTTTTAAAAAAAGCTATTTATTTTTAAAACACTATTGTGCAAATTTATAGATATGCATATTGGTAACTCATGGTTGATTTACATAAACATATTAATTTTTTAATAATATGGTTTAACAGTAATGATATTATTTTTTAATCTATTTTTTCAATCTAAAAAATAACATTATTTAACTAAACCTAATTTTGCACAAAAAATAAAACATTTAGCTTAGATTGAATTTTTTTTATTGGTATACTTTAATGTATTATTACAATATAATTCAATAGAATTTAGATTATATTGTAAAATTAAAAAAATAATTAAACTAAAATATACATTTTCTTTAAAAGGCCAAGTACAAACAGAAAGTAAAAAAAAATGGTACAAAATATTTTATAAAAAAAATATGTATATTTATCATTGCGAGAATTTAACATTTCGTGATAATTTTTTTGAGATATTAACATCTAACTTTAGCAGGAAATTTTTTTTAATAATAATAAAAAAATCTGCTCCAGTACTGGACTCCACCTTTAAAAAAAAAAGATCGCCCCAGTGAGAATTGAGGCGTCGAATACAATAATAATCATCTCCCATCTTAAATCACCTGACCATCCAACTCAACCCTCTCATCTTTAGTAAACCATGCATAAATGTGGATAAAATCACTCTCCCGGTTAAAAGTCCTCGGTGAGAATTAATCTTATATCTACTATCATGAATCAACACCCTAAACACTAGATTGTACACTATATTTTAGTTTAGTAATTTTTTGAATTGGATAATACAATCTATAGTTTATTTATTCAATTTTTAATAAATTAAAATGTACTAATATATTAATTTTTAATCTATGCTAAATATTTTACTTTTTTGTAAAAAATTAGTTTTTAGTCAAAAAATATTATTCTTTAAATTGAAAAAAGGATTAAAAAAATTAATATCATTATTGTCAAGTTATATTATTAAAAAATTAATATGTTTATGTAAATCAACCATGAGTTACAAATATACATATCTATAAATTTGTACAGTAGTTTTTAAAAATAAATCGTTTTTTTAAAAAGATCATATAATATATTTTTATAGTTATGAGAAATAATAAAAATAAATAGCAAACAGAAAAAATTAAATAAAAAGTGTAAAAAGACTATTTGGTTATTTTTACAAATTTTTAGGGTCGTTTTTATAATTTTCAAAACTATTAGGATATTTTTATAATTAAAACTAACAGAATTCCGTTAATTTAAACGGAATTGGCCAATTGGACAAAATCGGTCAACGGTATGATAATTTAGGGTAATATTGGCTAATCGAAAAAGAATAGAGTAGAATTGACAACGAATATCAACCTTTAAGTAGATCGGCCAATTTTTCCTGTAAAACACCATAAGTGAGTTTCTTCCCAAAATCAAGTGGATATCTAATACTATTAGTAACTTTCAAGTTTCAAGCATCTTTCAGAAAAATGAAAGCTTTTTACCTCTCCGAAAGTAATTTCTCTTGGTTAATAAACCTTCTACAGTTCTACTAATTCTAACAGACTAAACAAGAAAACCTCATAATCAAAGGTAGAAGTAATAAAACCCTTTAGATCATCACTTCTCGGATATAGGTCAAACAAAGGCTTAGATACAGATTTTAAGTCGTTTTGTGTCAATTGCAAGCCTTCAACTATCTTCACCGCTCCTACAAGTCATTAGACAAACCCTTGTGCAATGCAATTGTTACAATACTGCTATTAATTAAGTCATAAGTCATTGAGACCAATAATCAAACACTTCATATGCATATTTTACAAACACAACAATATAAAACTATATCGTGTTCATTCAACCTCCAAATTGAAGACAAACACAACTCCATGAAACTATATCACGTTCATTCAACCTCCAATGAAGACAAATCAAAGAAAGGAGAAAATTAAAACCCAATTGCAACTTAAAACCATTCCACTGGCCTAAAGTATAAATCGGACGGCAGTGTTGGCAAAGAAGAATATTAACATGAATGGCAGCTAGTTTCTTCATTTTTTTTAAATAAGGAAACAGAAGATATAGGTGGCGAAAGACAAAATATAAAGAAAGAGGAGAGATTACGTTTGCTTTTTTGGGTGATGGACTTGGCAATTGGAAGAGGAGATAGAAGGGGACGATTGGCAATGGGCAACCGGAAGAGAAGAACAAAATGCAAACATGCGAAACGCGACAAGAAAATGAGAAAGGCGACTAAACATCTGCCACGTCATCGAAAATCACAGGCAACTTGCATTTAACCGTACCTAAAAAGTGGATCCTGCTTTATTATATATAGATAGATATACAGTATTTTGGAAATCTGAAAAGGGACGAAACTAATTCAGTATATTATTTGTTTTGTTTAAGCCCATTTCAAATTTTAAGAACACTTCATATTAGTAATGAAATTTCTTTTTTTTTTTTTGCAAGAAATTCCTACAAAAATGATACTTCTTTTGTGCCTAAAAAAATAAATAGTAGTAATTCACATTAAATTTCTAAATTTATTTAATATGTTGTATAAATTTGAAACTTCAATATACATGATTTTTTAGGAGCGTGAAAATGATATTTAGACTCTTACATCAAAAAAAAAAAAACACATTTCTAAATCACATTCTATAATATTCCCGCCTCAAAACCGAAAGCCAAAATGATGTAATTAGTTCCAGAAATGAGATTCATTTGTTTGGAACACAAGGAATGTAGTATAAAATAGAGAAAGTATGCCTCATTAATTGCATTATTTCAAGTCGTCTCCACATACCAATCCATTATCTTTACCAAAACTCCAGCTGTTACTATGGTCATATTTTCTATCATTACTCAATTAGGGAAGAATCAGAATATCTAAAGCACTCTTAACACAGTACAATTACAAATACGCGATGCTAAAGATGCGGACCCTGGATCGCTCGTAAGATTTTGCATACGGAAGCAAGTCCACTGGCTGCATTGCTTCAGTCATGTCAGTGACACATAGGTTCGCTTCCTCTGTTAACCGAAGAAAGCAATTGTAAGTTTCCAGATTACGAATCACATAGGCTATGTAGGCTACAGGGCATGGATCCAGGAACGGAAATGATCGTCCAGAACACGTTGCAGTGCTTTGATTAGCCATCCGGGACTTGTCAGCATCGTATGGTGTACTGCCCTTGAGAAGAATAGACAGCACTCTGACTAGATGCGGAAGGCACACGGGATCATAAATCACATCGGCTCCCAACCTGCAGAAGAGAAAGATGAAAACCGATTACATCCGGTGTTGGTGATAGAGTACAGTATGTGATGAACAGGTTCCATGTTGCAAATGTCAGCCACAAGATTGTCAAACAAAACAGTGCCTTTAGATCCAAGTTAACTTGGAACTTGATAACATTAAATGGAGCGCAAGTACTATACAGACACGAGACCAGTCCTTGTAATAATCGAACTGATACTCCTATGATGTGAACTTCAGATCTTCCAAAGCATAGTGATTCAACACTTACAGATGGCAAATTATCAAGTTTAAAAAGTTATGGAAGATACGATTGATGTCCTAGTTCAAGCCAGAACTACAAAAGCTTGAGATTTTCAAGGACATGGACAAGCTAATCGAGATTTTCTTGTACAGTAAGGATGGAACTCCAAGAGAGGGATTGAAGCCACATATTTATGCAACACATGAAAGAAAATTAACAACACATACACTATGTCTGGGGCATAATTTCGCAGCTCAGTCTCTGTTGCAGATTCCCAGGGTAGATGAACACACTGCACCTGAAAGTAAAAAATCATTTCAGCCGGCGTAACTGCATATTTTGAGTTCTACATGAGGCAGATTTCTGGAAATACTGATTTAAATCAAACAACTTCAAACCAAGTAAGCAGCTATCCAACTACTGACCTGGATAAGAAAGCCTTGTCGCAAGTCAAAAGTTAAAAAGTAAAACTCCCCATATAAGTGTTAACATTATAGATCATTGAAGTTGCTCTATACATTGATCAGATGAAAATGATACTGTGACATAAAAACAGTAGTCACCTCAAGTAGCGTCGGCTAATGATAGGTCTGCCAAGTTTCACTTAGCTAATTGTATGGTCTACTGTACATGAGAAGCTAACTTCACTCACCATAGTGGGGTCCTTGTTTACTTCTGGGACATTAGTGTTGGAGTGCATAAGGTTAGACTCCACATTTTGCCTCATATTCACCAAAGTGGACAGGTCACCATCACTCAGGATGATCTGCGTCAAACAACATTCTCCAACATTTTAGCGTCCCTCTCAAGGAAACCCAAGAATCTTTGACTTCTTCAAAGACAATAACAATTAAGACTTCAACAAAAGAAACAAATGCATCTTAGAGAGAGATAAACCTCTACACCGCACTACGAGTTCTGCGGTTTAATCTTTACAAATGCCATCAAGCAATTTGACTATTAACAAGTTCAGAAAAAGCATGCTGTTGTGCCAAGAATGCAGAAAACTTTCAAATGTAGGGAACCAATAAATAAAGAAATAAACCAAAAAACCAAATTCCAGAGATGGCCCATGAGCGATTCCCAGATCTACTTGACAAAAATCAAACTGATCATCCCGCAAACTGAGAATGCCATGAGCCATGAGTTACTTCGAGAAATTCACAGGAACCAAAATTACCAGTCAACAACTATCATCTCATAACAAGCATCATTTTTGGAGATAACAATATCTCATGGAACCAGAAGTTGAAGTCACCCATCTTCTCCAAAGAGAATACCCAAATGAACGAAAACAAAATCAAAGATTAAAATGCCGCAAGATTGGCAGAAAAGGACTAATCCTCACAGTGAAAACAAGAATGGAAAGGAGAAGGGAAGTTTCTTCACCATCATGAATTTACTACATATTGATAAAATTTAAAGAGGAGACCACAGTAAGATAGAAGGTGGCTTAAATTACTATATTTTCAAGAAAAGTGCCAAGTCCTAGGAAAAACCCCACATAACTCAATCTGAAAATGTATATAGGCCACACACATGAAGAAGTAAGGGAGAAGGAAATAGAAGAGAGACTAACTTACAGAAGAGGCCTTCACATGGGCCAGACAAACACCCAACAAACCCACACCAGAACCAACCTGTGACTTGGCCAAGAACAAAACAAAGATGAGTGTCACATGCGTATTCTAACATTTCCAGGTTGTGTAGCATCAAATGCAAGATATTATGGAAAACCAGCATGGTATACCTCACCTCCAAACAGGATTTATTGAAGAATAATTCCGGGAAAGAGAGTACAAACTCTGCAAGATAAAGACTCGAAGGCCAGATGGAGCACCTTGAACATATAGCAAAAGAAATGGTATAGTATGAGGTTGAGCCCTATTGAAGAATAAATGAACGTATAATAAAACAAACAGGACACTAATGTATACTTATCAGAATATGGCTATTTCCCAAAATCACTCATCTTTTTCCATCCCTTCCTCCGCGTTGACCAAAAGCAGATATTATTGCCTCAATTTACTATATTTAGGTGAGGAGAATTTTGTCCACAACCAAGTACGTAATCATTCTCAACAAGAATCTAAACCATCCTTAAGTAAGGAAAAGAAAAAACATTTACAACAGTTGGCAGGTAGCTAATGGCGCAATTTCAAAGTAGCACTTGCAAGTCTTTATCAGAAAAACCAGAAAAGACCATTTTGTTTGAGTGTTTTATTTGGGGTAAATTAGTAGAGGAGTTATACCATGTGAATTTAAACTTTTACTTTTCAAGTAAGTGTCACATATTGCACTTTGTGTTTTCTCCTATTTCAATCATCTGGAAGAAAACATAAGCAAGATAAAGCCTGTACATGTTGTAAATGCAAAGAGCCATTAGAATGTAAATTCCATCACAAATTTTCAATCCCTACTAGCTTCAAGAATTTTGTGACAAATGCAAATTCCATCACAAATGTAAATTCCATCAATTCCATCACAAATTTACATCATAAAGTGACCTATAATATTTTAAAGCCTACAGCCCATTATTTTTCTAACCAATGAAGTCAATAAAAATTAACAATGAGAAATGGCTCCAAGTAAGAAAATTAGGAAAGGATAGATAATATCATACCCCGTATCTCCTTCGAGCAAGTTTAGGGAACACTGGAGTGAGACTTCCAATTTCTTAGATTTTGGACAGCTTAGAAGCTTAGCACAATCTGGAAAAGGAACATTAGCGGACGCAAAATTATCCTAAATTGTCAACTGAAGCCATAAGAACAAACAATCCTCACCATCAGGAAAAAGAAATGAAATTTTTTTCACAATCTTTGACTTCCCTTCAGCAGAATTATCATCCTAAACAGCAAAATTGGAAAGAGAATGATAAATATAAACTCCCAATTATTTGCAAATACATCAACAAGTGAAGAAAATATAAAAAAATTCAGTACCTTAGAAGAGGCCATAATATAAGCATAATGCTCGTATAATTCATCCAAAACAACGCCTCTCTCGGACTCAATTTCAGCAATTAACTTCTTCAGAACCCTTCTAAGGTAAGGTCCCTGGCATAACCCAATTTTCATCTACAGAAAGTACATAAAAATAAGTCCAAAGAGCAATTGAAAGAAAGCACAGCAGAAACCAAAAACTCTGTTTAAAGTTTAAACATACTGCTTCACAAATGCAACCATTCCAAATGAAGCTCTGAACTCTATCCCCAATAAAACCACCGCCACACTCCCTTGCCAATGAGATCATGACGTCCGGCGGTTCCATAGCAAGAAACGCGGAGATTAGATGGAGGTACGGAGGAGTGAATGTGTCGTGTTCTTCACGGTCTTCGTTGATGGCCATGCCTATCGCGTGTTTGAGAATATGACCCAAAGATGTCAAATTTATACTGGTAGGTATGGGCTCATTTGAAAGGAGTTATGGTACATTCGCGCTCTTGCTAACGGCTAGGATCTCGGGTTTAATCATGCTCGTGGCAATGTACAATATACTACTCTCTCTGTCCCAAAATTAAATAAATAATAGTAATAAATACCTAAATATACTTTGCAACATGTATTTAAAGGAGAACTGTCTTACACGCACACTATATTCAAGTATATCTTTTAATCCATAAATTCAGCCTTCTTACGCTCAAAATCTGAGTCTCTATTCAGTATACCCGCGAAACTATACTCCCCCTTCAATTTTTTACACTAGTAGTCCTTATTACACTTTTTTTCACTTTTCTAAATAACATCCTATAATTTACAGGTTTAGTCCTTTTGATTTTTTTTTCTCTCCTTTAAAAAACATCTCTAACCTTTAAACGACCATATCTCTCAATCCGTGAAGAATTAGAAAACATGTTACACATGAATTTTATTGTACTCGTCGAGATCTATCCAACAAGATCCATGTCGAATATTAGAAATGTGTATATCTCGTCGACATGGATAACCAGTTTAGTTTAGATTAAGATTCTTATATTGCATATATCTCTTGATCCATAAAGAATTAGAATATGAATTATACATGAAATTTATAGTGCTTTGGTCGACGAAATCTATCCGATAAGAACCATGTTGAATAATTTTTTTGAACTTTAAATGTATTTAAATTTTACGGGCAGAAATGAAGAAATGTGTTTTTCGTTTTCCTTTGAAAAATGGTTATCCGTTGTGTTCCTACTGATTATCCAACCGGTTTAGACTGATTATCCATTCTGTTTGTATTAGTTATCTAATCATATTTTTGATATTCACTCTTCCAAAAAAAAAAAGAAAGAAAGAAAAAATGATTGGATAAGAATTGCAAACAATTTGGATAATCAATAGAAAATAATTGGATAATCAGTGCAATACGTTGGATAATCAGTACAAAAAAGTTTGACAATCATTTTCATAAAAGAGCAAGGAAAAAAAATACTGGATAACCACCACAAAGAAGTTGGATAATCAATATGAACACATTGGATATCCAGTTTAAGAAGATGGATAACCAACTTATTTTACATTCATACTGTTGTGTTCCTTATATCTTTTGATCCGTAAAGAATTATAACACGAATTATATATGAAATTTATAGTGCTCGACGAGATCTATCCGATAAGATCAATGTTGAATATTTCTTTTGAACTTTAAATGCATTTAAATCTTACAGGCAGAAATGAATAAACTGAAAAATGATTATCCAACCGGTTTGGACTAATTACCTATTTTGTTTTATCCAATCATATTTTTTACATTCACTTTTCAAAAAAGAAAAAAAAAAAGAAGATGGATAACCAACTTAGTTTAGATTGATATTCTTGTATTACATATATTTCTTGATCCGTAAAGAATTAAAACACGAATTATATATGAATTTTATAGTGCATACAAACCTGTTGGATTACAACTACAAAACAAGTTGGATAAGCATATAAACCAAATGGATGGATATCCAGTACAAGCGAGTTGGATATCCAGTACAAACGAAATGGATATCCAGTACAAACAAGTGGGATGGTACATAGTCACATCATTATCACCACCGTACGGCCTGCTGCCCTTAGTTTATAAAAGTGCGCCTGAGGCGCACCTAGGCGAGAAGCGAAGCGAGGCGACCATGGCATCGCATCACCATTACCTGAAGCGAGGGTAATGCGCAAAAAGCGCTCGCTTTTGATCGAAGCGTGATGCGTTAGGGGCGAGCACCTCATGTATTTGTCAGTTTAGTCATGTTTTTTTTTAATAAAAAACAAAAGGGGAAGATATACCTTATCCCTAATTTTATTCAGCCGTCTCTCTTTCTCTCCTCCTCCTTCTTCGCGAGCCTTCGCATCTGCTACCACCACTCTGTTGCTGCAACTTCAAACTTCAAATCAGGTATCTTCTCCTACTCCTTCTCTTCTCTCTTCCTTCTTGCTTTCACCTTCTTCTTCTTCTTCTATCCTCCTCCTCCTTCTTCTTCTCTCCTCCTTCTTGCGTTCACGGTTAACCTTCTTCTTCTTCTCTCCTCCTTCTCTCGGTCTCATTCACCTTCTTCTTCTTCTTGGTGAAAAAAAAAATGTCCAACTGATTGTCTTTTAGCAAAACATATGATTGAATTAATTCACTATTTTTTATTCATCTCCTTGTACTCTATGTATTTGTGATTATGCCCCTGAATCCCCTCTATTTTTTTTTAAAAAAAATTTCAATGAATTACATGGCGTCTCAATCTACTTCAGCCTCAGCTTCCGGTTCTACTGCTACTTCTACTAAATCTGAATTTTTTGTTGAATGACATGAATATTATTATCTAGAATTGTCATTTATAATTGAAATTACATATATAGTTCACTATATTATATTACATATATATATATTATAATGTTTTGTGGAAGAGGTCGCGTGACATACGTGATGCGTTCGCTTTCGCCTCTCGCCTCTCGCCTCGGGTCTCGAGCTTCTTGTCGCCTCGGTACGCCTCTCGCATTTTAAAACTAAGCTGCTGCCTATACCCGCCACCATACGACTACACAAGTGAAGCCGTCAATAACACAATTGTTCTTCTAATGTAGTTCGAATTCAGCCTTTAGTTAATTCGCCAACCACATCTATCTATGTGACCACCACTACTTGCCCAAATCCACCACCCCATTTGCAGCACAAAACCAAATCAAGCTCAAAAAAATAAAATAGATAATTGCTTCAATAGATGAGCAAAGATTGCCTTTTTTGTACACCAATAAATTGCTCCTTATTCCCGCACTACTCTTTCCACAAACTTCCACCAATCATTTTGGAATTCCAATTCAATTTTGATGACACGAGAGAATACACCAAAACATTTACAATTTAATTAAAACTCCAAAGAGTACTGTACCAAGAAATAAAAAACTCCAAGAAGTGAAGAAGAGTGAAAGGGAGGCCAATATATTTTCAACTTTGACCAAAATTATTTATAAGGTAGGGCAGTGATGGTGACGAAAAATTGGTGATGGTGATGGTGACGGAAAAATATTTTCTTAGGTGAAAGTTTGAAATGAGAGGGGCAAAATCGGTATAAATAAAAAATAGTGGCTTCAAATACCAAAGGTGCTGACTTAAAAACTAACACGGTGTTTGTTTTCAAAGCCACCACCTTACTACTTGAAGCCACATATTTTAAAATTAGACCATTTTACCCCTATTAATTTTTCAAATCAAATAATTTGACTAGAGAGAAAATAAAAAAATTAAAAATTAAAAAAAAATTTGACCAACCGGGCGGTCCCCCGGAACGGGCAAATAACTCGCCCACTTGTTCGCCCGAACGGGTTCATTGCCCGTCTCGGACCCGGGACGGGTTCATTGCTCGGCCAATCCCGGTTCGGTCCGATATGGTGAACTGGACCGGTCAGGCCCTTTTTTTAATTTTTTAACTTTTTTTTGTAATTAAAAAATAGCAATATTTGTTATTTAAAAATGTCTAAAAATTAAAAAATATCAATCGGATTCATTGCTATTTTTTTAATATTTAGAGTTTTTGTTGTAATTAGTTAATATAAGTTTTAGGTCATTAAATTTATTAATAATCTATTATTTGAGTTACATTAAGTATCACCAATGTTTGTAATACAAAAAATAGTTAATCTATTTGCACATGTTTGTCACAATCTTTGTAGTACAATTATTATTTTTCATTATAAAGGTATAATTATTATTTTAACTAAAAATTATCTTTAAAATAATGATTAAAGCAAAATTTATATTTTAATATCAATTCAAATAAATTAACTTAATAAATAATCTTAAATTTATTCTCAAGTAAAAATTAATTACTTGTTTATTTTCAAATAAATATAAAATCGAGAGTTTAAGCACTAAAGTATAAATATTGTTAATAATATTTAAAGTACGAGGTATTGAACATGTAACGATACTGCGAATAAACTAACATTAAAATAAAAGTTAATAATTTGTCCGTTGCCACGTGAATTGGACTGAATGACTTACCCGGTTCGGTCCGAGTGACAGAAATAAAAGGGGAATTCTTCAAAATTAGTGGTTTCAAGTACTAATTTGGGTGACTGGAAAAATCCACCCTGAGTAAAACCAAAAACTAGCAGTTGTTGAACAGGGGCTTTTTTGTCCGTTCGTACTGAAGTTTTGATGATGATATCACATGATGTCATTTTTCTGGTAAGCTTGGTGCGGTTGGTTAATCGGAGTAAAACTCAGGGGGGTTATTGTAGTTTGGCCAAAACTCAAGGTGCATTTAGTTAAAGGACCATAACTCGAATAATTTATTCCTTCTCCTACTCCCTCGTCTTCTTCATCGCCGGACCGCTGCTCCTTCTCCTCGCCATCGCCGGACTTCTTCTTTCTTCTCTTCTTCATCCAGAGCCACAAGAACTAAGAATACAGTTGTTCCAAGGGTTTCGAATTCTCCATTCCTGATTAAGATGGCGTCCCACACTCACCTTGACGTGGTAATTTCTTTTCTTAAATTGATTTCGAATTTGGATCAAATTTTTTGTCCTTCCTTTTCTTCTATTATTGGCTTCAAATTAATTTTCCCCCCTAATTTCTTCCTTTCTATAGGATGAAGATTTTGGTGGTGAGTTTGCGGGCAACAACTCAAAGCTTTCAGGTAACAAAAGAGGCTTCGCGGACCTTGATGATGATGAAGATGATATTTTTGGCTCGAAGAAGGTTTGTTTGATGTATACACTTATTTTGATACACCACTGTATTTTTTTCACTGAAGGAAGTTTTAGCACACTTGTAGTTCCTTATAGAAGCTGAAGTTTTTTTACCTGTTACTTTTGGAATTCTGCTTATCTGTATCTTAGGGTAAGCTGAAAGAGGAAGAGATTGCTGCCCCTGGTGTTGCAACGGGGATGATTTTGTCTCTCCGTGAGAGGTACCTGCTATCTTAATGTCCTTTTGTTGCCAGAATTTTTAGTTCTTTTGTCCTTTTTGAGTTTGTTTCTTATTTCCAGTTCAGAAGTTTGAGGTTTTGTTGCTGTTTGGGCTCCTGCTATTTGTTTGTAACTTTCTTGTGTTTCTCATGGTTTGTCTCTTGCAGTCTGCAGGAGTGTGAGGATCGCCTTGCAACATGTCAGGTGCCTATTGAAATTCTTTCACTCCATTGTATTCTTGTTGGTTTAATGTTTTTCTTGAATTTTTGACAAGATGCTTTACCTTCCGAATGAGTTTGCCTTACGTGAGCATTCATACTTGCTCTTTATGAAGCATATATCACCTCACATCAATGATGAAGTATTTTCATTTTGTGTGGCATCAAGTAAAGCAACTTTGAATTTGATGGTCTTTGTCCTCAAATACCCTTTAGATTCTGTTCACATTTTTTTTTTCTTTAGGCACAAGGCTGGGAGAAATGGGTTTTGGATCACATAGCTTAAATATATTGCCGGAAAACTGCAATTCCCTCAACATGGTGATTGTCATAGATTAGGATTTAGAATTGCTATTCTTGGAAATGATGAGTATAATTTGTTTGTGTGGCTTAATGGTGTTGGGTTGCGAAATGATGAAAGTAAAGCCATCTTGGATTTGCAGTTGCTTGATGATCTGGTAATAGGTAGCGTAGCACCTTACCTTTAAAGAAAGAGAAACATTTAATTCTATATATTTGCAGTACAAACAATCTGCAATTTGTTTATTCTTGAGTGGAAAGAAAATATCATGGAAACTTATGTAAGAATTGTAAGGTAATACAATATGAAAGTATAGCTCAAAATTGTTCTGCTATTTTTTGTAATAGGAGTTAAATTGAAGAAGAAAGTATTACAACTCAAGTAGGGGTTAGAGTTTATGAAACGCTTGCCAGAAACCCTTATATGGAAAGTGGAAGACAAATCTAAGGACACACTGCTACATGTAGTTAGCCATGTGAAATGGTTCTGAAAAGAGTATTAGATAAGTCAAGGGCCATGAATAAAGAATTATGCATGAGACTCGAAAAATCCAAGTTAGAAGCTTAGAGGAAGCATCAGGATGAAAATATTTTATTTTTCCTCTTAGTAGAGCTAGAACTTACTTTCAGGAATCATAGAAGTAGCAACACAGTCATTGTGAAGTTTAGTGGGCATAATCCAGAAATAGAGAAATGTTCCTTCTAAGCTCCATGATACAAATCGTAGATTTTTTGTGACTTTTAATTGAAAATTTTCAAAGCAGTTACAGGGCTGTACTTCATTTAACACTCTTGTCAGTGTGTTAGGGAGCTACACACAAACACACACAAGAAATTAGGCATTAGAATTGAAAATGTTGAGATGGATGTGCCTGTTTTCTTGTGTTGAATAATTGATTGAGCTTTTGCCTTGTATTTGTTTCTACTTCAGAGAGATCTTGATGCTGCGAAGTCTGAGATTCAAAAATGGCATTCTGCATTCCAGAATGAGCCATTTGTACCATCAGGCACAAGTCCAGGTCTGTTATCTTGCTTTATCTTTTTCACACCCTCCATTCTGTTGTGTAATTCATTATGGTGCATTCAATTAAAAACTACACTAGTAATAGACAAATACAGATATGGAAAAGGGGAGGAAAACATGCGGGTGCTAGTTTCAATTCTATTTGCTGTCAGGAAATGTGAATTATTTTAGTCGTTTATTCAAAATGATGTCGATGTAGATGTACTCAAAATGGATTGAAATATTTTATTTGAACTTCGTGACGTGATGGCTAATTTAATGCCATGTAGTCGTTTGTTTTAGAGAAAAGTTGATAATATAGGTCATGGAGAAAGACAAGAAGTGCCACTTGAAGGGGTGTTTATTGGAGATTTATACTACTATTATATACATATATTTTTTGGTAGCATGTGTCTTTTTCATATATATTTTGGGGGCATGTGTCTTTTACATTATGCGTATCCAAAGTTTTCGTGTAAATTTTTTATGAATGACTGCGGTATATGTTTTGGCATTGTGGTATGTTAATATAACCTTGTTTTAGAGGTGGGAACTTTAATATCATGAAACAAGGTGTTTGCTGTTTCTCTCTCTCGCTCTCTCTGTGTGTGTGTGTGTGTTAATGTATGTGTCTCTCTCACTCACTCACTCTCTCTCTCTCTCTCTCTCACCCCCCTCCCAACACACACACACAACACACGCATGCGCGCGGAGTCATACACAGTCTCGCACACACGCACTAAATAGATTTACCATTTTCTTTGCAGAGCCAAGATTGGTTGTCAGTTACGTTCAGAATTTGAAGTCATCTGAGGAGTTCCTGCGGGAGCAGGTTTTTAACTAGACAATATTCTTGTTAGTTTTATAGCACATTGTATTGGTAGTTTTAATTTAGTTCTTGTTTCATCTTGTCAGCTTGAAAAATCCAGGAAGAAAGAAGCTGCCTTCATTGTTACATTTGCTAAACGTGAGCAGGAGATAGCGGAGCTGAAGGTGGGAATTTGCTTAGTTCTTTACTTGCTGTAGTTTTTTTCACATGCAACTCCTTGTTTTCTAATAATGCTTCTACTACGTAATCTATCTTGAATTGATGTCTTCTCTATTTGAGTTGCATTTGAATGAAGTTTTTCTTCTCGAAGAACTGACTTTTCCTAATAGCAGGTGACATTGCATTCCTTATGAACGAGCATCATGAATTTGTGCAACACGGGACAAAGTTTAGGAAATTTAGCAATTATTAAATTAGTCCGAACTAAGGTTACTGTGATTTGATATGTAGAATTGCTTTGCTAGATGAGTTCTCAACCATGGAAAAATATAAAAACATGTAAATGACACAATAGTCGGTCAAGTTTGATGTCTGATATTAATGTATCCATTCATGTTTGTTGTTATTCTCATATCATCATTATTTTTCCTTTTTCTTGTTTTCTGTGTAACTGGGACTCTTCTCTTACAGAGTATGTATCTGCTACATACAGTTTATTATTCTTATTTAGTTTGGTTTGGAATGAATTTGCAGTCAGCAGTTAGGGATTTGAGAGCCCAACAAAAACCGCCATCAATGCAGGTAACTATGGCTTTAACTCTACCTATGGCTTTGTTGCCAACTGTAGAGCAAGGAAAATGATTTTGATAATTATTTTTCTCCTTGATCCTTCTTTTCATAAGTTGAAATTTCTAGGTTCTTCGCTTTTCTGTTTCCATGTGTTGCATTCTAAATTGATGGTGAAGCACGCACCTATGTTTTTTTGCACTTCTTGGCTTGGGGTTTGTAAATCTGCCGAAGTTAATATTTCTTGAGTTTATGTTGGGAAAAATACCTTTCTGTGATAAAAAGTTGAGGGTTTGCTCGCAATTTGTGTCAATTTTACCCCGATCCGTGCTTGTTATGCAACACTCTTCTGCTTTTTGGATTTGACCTCAACTTAAAAATCGTGCTTGCTGCATCTGGTGATTTCTGTACTTGTTTGGGTCCATGATAAATCTTTTTTTCTACAAACTCATCCTGCTATATGAATCAAAGAAGCAGACCAAGTGAAGAATCCAATAGACTTATAGATGACAGGTAAATTTAAGGTAGTAGGTTTTGTGGTGGTTGAAAAAGAAGTGGAATGGCACATAGGATTTTGATAATGCACTCGGTTGTATCTTTTCTTTTTCTCTTTTGTCTTTTGTTTCTTGTTGTGGTGGTATTGATTTTGTTTTATACATTTGACAGGCAAGGAGGTTATTATTAGATCCAGCAATCCATGAAGAATTCACACGATTAAAGGTCCCTTATATGAGCTACTCTGTTTTTTGTATCACCCATATTGCTGGGATCCTTTTTGTTTCCGTCATGTTTGTTTTCTTTTCTCTTATATTGGTTGCTTCAATCACAGAATTTGGTAGAGGAGAAGGATAAGAAGGTGAAGCAGTTGCAGGAGCAATTAGATGAGGTTCAGTTTACCCCACAAAGTAGGATGGGAAAGCAGTTGATGGCGAAATGCAGGACCTTGCTGGAGGAAAATGAATTAATTGGAAACCAAGCTAATGAAGGAAAGGTAATATGAATGCATATATCAGACCCCTGGTATACCTTGTGGTATGAGATTGGTTTCTTGTTTCAGATAAAATGTAAATTGGAGACAAATGTTGAATATCATGACCACAGTTGCTTGTTTTGTGGAAAAAGGATGCGAGTCCATATTTTGTTTCTGAAGATTTATTTGCATTACTTGTTGATGTGACAAATATATCTCATATATCCTGTGGCAATTTTGGTCTGGCAGATTCATGAATTAGGGATGAAACTTGCTCTGCAAAAATCTCAGTATTCAGAACTCAAAAGTCATTTTGAAGGTCGGTGCTCCTATAGTGATCTTTTTCGTTGTCTCGTATTTATTCTTATGGTGTTGGTCCCTAAAAAAATAATAATAATAGAATTCATATGGTGTTGATGATCTGTATGGCACCTTTTCTGTTGGTGTGGTTGCTTCCCTTTAGTTTATGCGATTATTTTTGTTGGACTTTATGTGATAATAATAAACTTGAACCAGTTTTTTGTATTGTTTACATTTTGTTAATTCATGTCATAGTCTTTTAAATGTTGGTAATTGATTATTGACAGCAGAAATGCTGTTTCACGGTAAAAGAAATTGGAGGGTACAGAATCCGTAATGTACAATGGTTAAGGTTTCTTTGTTTTCTTCCTTGAGTTTAAAGTAGTGCCGGATGACATATGGAGGTTCTTTGAGGAAGATTTGCTCACAAATGCAGCTGAAGTGGAACTGATTACTCATACTAACTGCTGTCGTGGTCTTGCGTGTAGTTAAATACTGAAGAACAAACTTATTTCAACTTAAAAGTCAATCACTGTCACACTAGCAGGAATTTTTTATTTATGATGATTGATCATGGCTATCAGCTACCGGATATAAATGTTACATCTTCTGTTTCTCCAGATTTCTCACCTATACCTAAAAAAAAAAAGGAAGGATTTCTCACCAGTTTACTTTTTGATTTGACATCGAAACTTTGACTTTCAATATGTCTATCTTGGATATAGGAAAAAAATTCAATCGTCTCGTGGGTGTGATATCTTCAATGTATTAGGTAAATATGAGTGGAGTTGCAGACGTTATTGTGTTGAAAGTTATTCTGTGACCTTGCTTTCCTTATGTTGTATTTGTGCAATGTAGGAATGGTGGTTCTGGTAGTTACGTATACAGTTTTCTTCTATTTACTCTCTTACTAGAAGCAGCTTGGAGATAGCACTGTCCATACAAGTAGTTTGATGTCATTTGCATCAACACTCTCCCCGGGGATCTGTTTTGTATGACGTAATTTTATGTGCTTGTGGTTTTGTGAATGCAGGACTATGCCAGAAAATGGAAGGATTAACAGATGATGTGGACAGATCAAATGAAATGGTATGTTAACCATGCTTCTTTTGAATTCTTAGTATAGTGGTCATCAGTAGCCCCTTGAGCAGAGATATTGGTTTATGCAAACATTTCAACTTCCATCCATTTTATTTTTTGTATATCATCACTCTCTCTAGAAAGGAAGTAACAGAAAATTAGAAACAGTCCTGGGGGAAAGCTTTCAGGAAAAAGTGGGAATTATTTTTTCTTATAGACGTGGACCTATGGCATTTAGGTGATGGTGTAATTAATGGTTGGATAAAGCCATCTAGTAACCGATGGTTTCCATACAAAGAGACATTTTGATTTTGCTTTGTAAGATTCAATGAGCCAGGCTTACGGCTTATTGGCATTTTCAAGTTTCATAAGCCCAATACACTTGAGGGGAGAAACATGTAACAATTGTAAAGAAGTCAATGAAGACTCAACATTAGTTTCTAGGGGTTTACAGTTTACCTACACCTTGGAAACTTCTCACTGTTACTTGACAGTTGTGAGATTGTATCAAAATTTGGATTTGGTCTATGATAGGACTTCTTTATTTATAGTTTATAAAGCTGAAGTTTCATATCCGCCTGAATAAGTACGTCTTTTTGCAGGTGGCCGTTTTACAAGAAAAGCTGGAAGAGAGAGATGCTGAGATTACGAGGCTAAAGCACGAACTTGAACAGAGGAATGGGATAGAGAAAGAGAGATCTGATGTAGTTGTTGATGAGAATCCGAGTGACGAAGGAACAACAGTAATAGCTGAAACGACTTAAAAACCAGCCTTGTTTTGTTTTGTCATGTTCCCCCGGCCTGGAATTTGTGTTTTCCTTGTTGTACACCCTTAATTTAATTTAATGTAATTTTTTTTTTTTTTCAATTTTGGTCTTTGGCCTACATTTTTGTAATCCTTTTCACATTTGTTGTTGTAGCGACTGGCACTTGTAATTTTTTTGAGGCGTATGGAATTTTCACATTTATTATTTTTCCAAAGAAAGCTCATTCCGACATTTGAACTAGCTAAACACGAGGCAGGATCACCAACACAGAACCATGCTTAATTCTTCTAATGATTGACATTTCAATCAACTCCGGCAGGATTTTCACCAATTTGTTTGAACCACAGAATTGAAAAATAAGAAAGAAGAATTCAATTTTTTTTTATTTACATTTATCATTTTGTATTTGGGCATCCAACCAATGATCATTTCCTAAGAATAGTGCAGTTTTGCTCTTCTTTCGTTCTTTCTTTTCTTTTTTTTGGATAGAGAATGTAAACAAGCAATTTAAATATTGTATTTTTTCTTTTGTAATGAAAAGGTTTCCCCTGTTTATGATTCGTGTTTCATTAGCATAAAAAAAGTAGTTTTGTTTGCAAAAGCATATTGGAACCTAAATTGTAGAAATTTATTAATTAATTCATCTAAGAAAACACATTGTGTTCTACTGGTGTACACTTAAAAAAAAAAAAAAAATTAAAACCCAAAGCGTGAATATTGACAGATAAGAATAGCATAAAGTACAAAATCGTTTGCCAATACCATTTGCTAACAAATCAAATCGCTGTAATAACGGTAAATGTGATATCCATATTGTAGATTTGCTTACAATGTTGGAGTTAATGTTGCCGATTCGGTCTCTTCAGCTACGTGTTTCGTCCTATATATATTGTATGGAATCAAACCCACCGGCCGTTTATATATTGTATGGAATCAAACCCACCGGCCGTTTATCGATCCGACCATCAAACAATTATACGTTAAATTGTTTGTTTGTTGTAGTTGTTTTTCGTGCGGTAAAGGCACACTTGCATCGTCATCTGAAAATACAATGTTGTCACATTTAAGAAGTTGATAATAAGGTAACAAATATTCGAATAGTATGTCGTTTTTGTAACTTGTTATATATGTAATTTTTAAAATAACATAAGAATAACATTCTTTTCTTTTTTTTTTATATAAAAAAATCCACTCCAGTAAACCCCACTTAAATGTGGGTAAAATTCCCCTTACAAATCCCTTGGTGGGAATCAAACCCTGATCTATTACCACGAAAGATAGCACCCTAACCACTAAACTATCATTCCATTCCCAGAACAACACTTTTTTCTTGAAAGAATAAGTCTAGAAAATTGCATTCTAAGCGGGTTCAACAAATGTTTCAAACTGACCGTCTTGTTTAGATTTTTATTTTTATTACAATTTGTATTATAAATGAAAATACAAATTAGACAATTATCTCGGGGTGCATATTTAAAATATCACATTTTCGATCTTGTATTTGGGAAAAAAAAAATTAAAATTCATCAACATAGTGCACGTCCCATAGGATTTAGAACTCTATAAATATCCTTTCTTCACCAAAAGAGTTTCTTCACTCCTGCTTTACTACTATAAAAGTACTATAAGTATAACCTAATCTCTCATAAAGGAGGATACATCATACATCTTAGAAATTTAAGAAACACGCAAAAATAACTCAAGATGGCCAAACTAGGGTTCCTGATCATCGCAGTTTTCGCGGTCGCATTTTGTTGCTATCTTGCCGATAGCATTAATTACGTGAGGGCTGATGAAGATCATCAGCTGTTCGGCTCAACCGCGGCCGCGGCGGCCGGAGTCGTGGCTGGAACTAGCGAGAAGTTGGAGCCTAGAGTATTGTATAGCTTGTGGGTTCTTGATAATCAGATGGGTCGACGATTATTGCACGGCCATCATCATCATCATCATCATGATCATCATCACTATAAATGCTGCAGCGAATGTGACCCTTGCCCTGAATGTTGCCCTGGAAATTAATTAATTCAAGATAACATAATCGATGTGACGAGTGCATGGTATTTGAAGATGGGACGCATTACTCTCTCCGTTTCAATTCAATAAAGATAGTTTCTTTTTTGGACGTTTCAAAAAAGATTTGATGTCTACGTTATTCATTTCAAGTTGTCTCTGCTCATTTTTGTTATTTTGCGTCTCTTCTTTTTTCCATCTTGTGATGTGAAAGATTTCCTTGTACTACTTCACATAAGTGATGGCAATGTTCTCTTTGCCAAGAAGTAATGATAATTTCTGAGTACGTAATGGTAAGTGATTTCTCATCCGTCATCATTCATGCTCCGAGGATGATAAGTAAAACTTATATTTGTCAAAATATTTTAGACATATCTCGAAACACATTTTGCTAAAAGAAGGAAAAGATTAAACTCAAAAAAATCGCAAAATAATAATAACCTGAAAGAGGTTTTGGTGATCTTTCTCTTCTTGATGGTTCAATTGACGTGAGTGCTATGTCTTTATGACGTACTTCCTCTTCCATTGCAGAAAAAATGTACTCCCTCTGTCCTAAAATTATTGTCCAGTTTGATATTTTAATTTTAGTACAATTTGAACTAGAAATGAAAACGCAAAATGAACAATAAGTTTGGGACAGAGGGAGTAATCGTTATTTGGATAATTTAGAATAATGGAATGTTTTTTCTTTCGTTCTCGTCAATTTTACTCAGGAGACAAAGAAATCAACACAAAAGTCGTCAACGTAAAAAAATATTTTGTGAGTTTTACGATCGATGGCAATGATAATTTAATTAATTACTTCCCCTGTCCCATAATTATTGTCCAGTTTGAGTTTTTATATTTAGTTCAAATTATACTAAAAGTGAAATCTCAAACTGGACAATAATTTTGAGACAAAACGAGTACCAAAGAATAATACTAGCTTTCAAAAATTGTGAAAATGATTCAAAACAACAGATTTTGGCGCTCTTAGCCAAGTGACGAATAAATCGACACAAATAATTTCAACAAGAAATATTCTTTAACCATTGCATGGATAAAAATAAAATAAGTAAATTACTAATACTAATAATATCTAATTAGTTCTAAAAATAGCATAAATTTATGGATTGCCTCCTACGCCAAAATCGTCAGTTTTACTAAGAAGACAAAAAAGGCAACTCAAGAATCTTCAACAATAAAAATGAATAATAAGAATCTTCAACAATTTTACGAGTTTTACAATTATAGCGATAATTTAAGTTTATTACCTAGCAATAATAGCTTAAAAAATTGTGAAAATGATTCGAAACAATGAATCTTGGAGTTCATCACCTTCTTGCTGCTTTGGCTAAGTGGAGAAATAGGTCGACACAAATAATTCCAAGAAAATTAAAAATTTTATTAACTTTTACATGGATAAAAATAAATAACTTAAATACCAAAAATAATAACATAAAAAACTTATAAAAGTAGTAGAAAATAATAGATTTTATGCGTCGTTGAGATTCTCTTCGGTTTAGGTAAGTAGAAGGAAAAGCAATTCAATTATCTTAAACAATAAGAAGTAATCATTTTAGGGTTTTTACTTTGATTGATAATATAATTTATTACCAAACAATAATGCATTAAAACAATTGTAAAAACTATTCAAAACAATATTTTGGCATTCGTCAACTTTCTCATCGCTTTGGCTATGTTGAGGAATAAGTCGACCAAGTAATTTTAATAAATATCAAACGCCTATTATCTCTTGCATGGAAAAAAGAAATAAGTTAGCTACTAATAAACACAAATTACGTCTAAAAACTAAAAAATGATATCAATTTATTGATTTTCGTACTGATTTTATTAAGTAAACTAAAAAGTTAACGCAAAATTCTTTAATAATAATGGTAAAAAATAATCATTTTGCGAGTTTTAAAATGATAGCGATAATTTAACTTATTACCAAACTAATTATATAATACAGATGATATTTACTGTGATGTACTGTAACACACAATGAATATAAATGATATTTATATTCTTATAAGAGTGTATTTAGAAAAAAAAAAAAACACACACACACACACATACTCGCATAATGCGATATACGAAATCTGTCATGCATCGAGTAACTTTTAAATTTGTTGGCTAATTGATGAGTCCGTATCCAGTGCACCCGGGTATACCGTATACCCCCACCAAACACATACGCTACACGCGCTCAACATTTTTCACCTTTACGTTAAATGCACAAACAAAATTGTTTTCATCCATTTTACTGTTTTCATCCTCACGCACAAACACACACAATTGATGGTTATCCATAATTTATCCACAAGTTGTAATCTGGTTATCCAGAAGGGGTAAACTGGTTATCCAGAAGGTGTAAACTGGTTATCCACAAGTTGTAAACTGGTTATCCAAAAGGGGTAAACTGGTTATCCAGAAGGTGTAAACTGGTTATCCACAAGGCGTAAACTGGTTATCCAGAAGGTGTAAACTGGTTATCCACAAGTTGTAAACTAGTTATCCAGAAGGGGTAAAATGGTTATCCACAAGTTGTAAACTGGTTATCCAGAGGTAAAGAAGCAAACGACATGTTAATTGGGGGGCCCCCATGATAAACTAAACGACTCCCGCGGCTACCGGAATCGCAGGTCACCAACCTGCTCCGGTTGCGCTGCCCCACAGAACACGCCAATTTAGCTAAGGTAATCCTTTTTCGTGTGTGTGTAAGGAAAGTGTGTTATTGCATTAAGAGGGGACACAAATTACTTCTATACATCCCCCGTGATAAACTAAACGACCCGGCTGCGCCGCCCCCCTGCCGAACACGGCAAATTTCATAAATAGTATTTAATTGAATAATGATGGAGAACAAAAAATGAATGAGGGGCAGTTTGCCAAATGATGGAAATAAGGTACGTTCAATTGTATATAACTAATTATCCATATTGTCAATACTGGTTATGCAACTGTGTATAACTAATTATTCATAGTACCAACACTGGTTATCCATAGTGTGCACATTGGTTATCTAGCTATGTTTAACTAGTTATCCATAGTCTGCACACTAGTTATCCACAATAATACTCCATCACAAAGTTTTCAAAATTTGAATGAATTCGGTAATTTATATATGCCGCGTTTAAAAAAAAAGAAAAAGAAAGCTGAATTATCTAGCGAGCTCACGCTATTTTAAGAGAGTAAAGTACATGCGTAAGGGGTACACGGTGTCCCGGATGTATTAGATAATTTGGCCTAATTGATCTCACTTTATAATTTAGCGAATTAATTAGTGACCGTTCACATTGGTAGGAAAAAAAGGGCAAAAAAATAAAAAGCCAATCTGTTTTATGGTGGATAATATATCCTGAATCTGCGTGCCAAAATGTCGTCAGTTGGAATAAAAAAGGAAATCGAAGAAATTTATTTTTGGGAATCTTCAGACAATATTTTTTTTTTGCAACAATTATTAACAGCTAAAGTCAATGCCACTTCACTGTCATACTGCCACGTATTCAGAGATTCGTTTCTGGAAGAAATTACCGTTCTAATCGTTTTTACTTAATCGAAACTACAAACTTCATCCATCATTTTCAAGTACCTTCCCGTCCGTACTCTGCATTCTAATCATAAGGACTGAAGAAGAAGAAACTCAGAAAGGGAAAAAAAATAAAAATAAAAATGGCAGAAAGGAATGAAGAAGTTGAGGTGATTCATTCATGGTCTGCACCCAGGTCCCTTAGTACCAGTGTTATGTACTCTTTTGCTCAGGTATTTTAAGTCAACCCTTTTTCCTGTACTCAACTCAAGCTCAGTCACATAAAATTTTACTTTGTTTTTTTTCTTCATGTTTAAACTTTCTTTCTGTGTTGTTGTAACCCAGCTTCCATGTTTTTGAGTGTTTGTTTATTTATTCTTTTCTGGGGTGGGTGCATAATCTGTTTCCTCTTTGCCCGGGGATAGATAGATGAAACAGAATTTCCTCTGTTCATGGTTTTAATGGAGTTGACTTGATATCTATCTGTTAATAGAGACCCTTTTGGCTATTCATTTCATTGAGAGCAATACATTTTCCAGTCTAGTTGTTGATCGTAATGGAGTTAGTCATCGTGCAATTATCTTACTGCTTTGTGATTCTGCAATTATCTTATTATTTATTCACGAATTGGAAGAAACACAAAATTGAAAAAAAACAGAGTACTGTTGTATTTAATATACTCTTTTATATGTTTCTTTACGTGATTATCATTTTAATTTTGGAGCCAAGTGCATTAGGATCTTTTTGTCTGACCGTCTGAGGTGTGCATTTTTCATATTAAAGTTCAGAAAGGATAATTTGCTATAATTGTTAGGCATCAATGGATAGTTTCTGTTTTCTGGGGTTTGGGGGAACTGAGGATTAGGAAAATGTTTTGAACTATGAAGCTGTCGAAAAATGTTTGAAAAGATAGTATTTTAGCTTCAAAAACGGATTGATCTTTTACTTTTTAGCTTTAGGATTCTATTGTGCAAACTTCTAACTAGTTCATTTGCCCAGAGAGATGATACAGACGTACTTGATGAGCCGTTATATGCAAATTTCCTGCGTGTTACGGGATTGGAAAGGCCATACAGAGGAGATGTCCTCTCAAACATGGTACGTTAAATGAACATAGTTTTATCATTTGCGGTTTGTCGTCCTAGAATTTCTAGAATTTATCTCTAACTTTGTGTTTCATTTCTTCAATACCTTCCAGAATGTGAAACATTTTGATCTTTGAATGATTGTTTAACATGTGTTGGTTTACCGTCCACACTTAACTACTGTCATTGCGTCTGCTTATTACTTCATCATGAAATGTTCGTAAAGAATCCTTGTGCAATGTGCTAAGATATTTCTTTCCCCTCAACAGAATTCACATTTAATTGATACTAGACAGTTGGAATGAGGTGTCCCGCACTATTTTTAGTGAATTTAATCTGCTTGTTTTGTTAAGTTCATAGATGGGATAGAAGTTGTCGAGTTTCAAAGTGTTGTCACTACTTCAATCATGTCAAGATTTGATGGATTCATATTGATATACTTTCACTGATAAAGTAATTCACAATTTGAGAATTGTACATTTCAAATATTCAAGTACTGCTAACTTGAGTATTATATTTTAAGTAAAATCAGTCGCATAATTGTTCAAAACGATTTTTTCTTCGAGAAGCTGATGGTTTACATAACTCTAGTATAGTTTCATATGGCGTAGTGCATGCTTAAAAGTTAAAAAGTGTATGCTTGAGTTTCTTGTTTTGGTCTTCAAACTATTTATTACATCCTCTACATTGAGCCATAAGATTAGCATGGATACATCATGTCTTGATGTGGATCTTTTGTGCTTCTTCATTGTGTAACTATATTCTTAAATATTCAGGAATCTGACGGAAATAAGGTGGTCAAAGAGATCATCTTTGGCCCTGGAGAAAAGAAGTACCGGTTTTGTAAGGTAGTGATCTCACACTGTATTTCTCTGTTCTACCCAATACGTCTCGTCTACATTTATACTCAATATGTCTTGGCTAGCCTACTTGCTCTCCTGTATCTTGTTTATGCCTTGTTGATATCTCTATATGTTCCAAGTAACTTGTCAGTAGTGGGACTTCCTGATGCCTTTCTTGTTCCATCTGGGAAGGATAAGGGAAATGGACATTATATTGTTATTAAATTTTTTAATATTATAGAATGTCCTCATTCTAGCGATAATCGTAAGATACATCAAATTACAATATTACTCTTGCGATTTAAACATCAGCGCTAGCGTCATTGTACGTATTGCATTTCTTATTCATGTGGCTGAAAAAGAGTTTAATCTTTTGATGATTAGATAAGTTTTATGCTGGATTTGTGTATTCTTTTATTTTTGTCTTACCCCCCTTTATTATCTTTCTATGTATTCCTTGATATAGATGTGTATATTTTCGTGAATTTGAAGAATACTTTATTCACCATAAGCTTCTCATTTGTTTTGAGGATTAAGATTATTGGTATGAGCTTCTTGAACTAATCCTTTTTTACTGATCTATGAACTGTAGCACATGGCAAAGCAACTTCTTCCTGGGTTGAGTGAAGAGTTGATGAAGAAAGGAAAGCACTTCATTCTAATTCGGAATCCTCTTGAAATTTTGGTACGTATCCAACTTGGATTGACCTTCGAGTTTTTTCTTTGAGGTGTATAATTTTTTGACAATCTGTCTTAGTGGCACTTTATTCTTCCCTATTGGCTACTTATGGTTTCACCCACTGCAGAAGTCCAATATAATTTATTTTATTAAGTAGGACTGACAAATACTACTCTGTATGGGTCTATGATGTTTCCTTTTGGTGCTCATTCTGGTGTTACCATTCTTCTACTGATTCGCAAATATATGCTGTCAGCCATCATTTGATAAGGTTGTTACCCCCTCATTTCGCGAGCTTGGATTGGTAGAGATGGTGTCCATTTACAGCCAGCTGTGTGAAATAGGAAAACCTCCGGCCATTATTGATGCAGCAGACCTGCAAGCGGATCCTGAGGTCTGTAAGACTCTTTCTCGATTTGCCTTGTCGTTTTGGATGCCCTTGTCCAATTGCAGTATTGTGTCAGGGAATTTAGAAACTTTGCTTTCTGTTTTTAATTCATAAACATGGAATGCTAGCTAGAGCTGTGCAGCAACATTCTCATCTAACATCGAACTCTAGCAAAGATGTGAATTCAAATATAAGCTAATTAGTTTGGAATTCCTAGCTTATTCCCCAATCTCTCCATGGTCTCCTTTTTTAGATAAGGGAGTTATCTTTTTATGAGGTGATTTTCAAACTTACCAGGACATCCATCATGTCTTGACATTAAACTGAAGCAACAAAAGAACAAAAGACTTATCAAATCAGCTTGCCTGACATAGCATATCAATCTCTCTCTCTCTCTCTCTCTCTCTCTCTCTCTCCTGTGTTTTTTTGGGGGATTGAGGCTAGTTTTCTTTCTCACAGTTCTCAACGGTCCTCTAATTCTGTGGCCCCTCTCTTCCTTTGGCAGGGTACTTTACGTGGACTTTGTGAAGACCTAGGGATTCCTTTCCAAACTTCAATGCTAAAGTAAGGAAAAATGACATTTAAACTACTTATCCTTGCCTATATTTCAGGAACAAGGATGCAATGACATTGTTAATTTAATGCATCCTCATTATATCAGAAAGAAGTCCTAGGAGTTGTCTGATGCTGTCAGTAAAATGAGCTCTAAGTCGTGGTTGATTACAGATAGAGCTGTCCTTGATACATTGAGTTCTAAATTCTAAGTGCTAATAATGTGTTAAAGATAGAACAGTTACCTAATCTAGTGCTAATAATGTGTTACAGTTCTTACAAATAATAATATATTAACTCAGACTTAAAGATCTATTGGTGAAGTTACGTTAGAGGAGAAACAACTATCAGCGGGATATTTTGCAGTTTCATGGAGCAACCAACATAAAAAATAGATTGGAGTACTGTTCTTCACATCTCATGGGCTTCTAGTTCACAAGCCTAAAGATTCATTTAGTAATTGAACCTTCTTGAGTTACTTGTTAGGACTAAAATATTTGTGCCAAAAATACTGCATGTGAAGAGGAACCAAAGGTCGAGCGGCAATATGCTTTTAAGAACTATTTCTATATTCCCTAGCCTAAGCTAATGGTTTCGGACTCGGCAAGGGAAAGTGAATCGGGTCTTTGTTTCTTCCCTCTTGTTTTCTAATCTAATTTGTGAACTAGTAAGATCAAAAATTAAAATACTGGTTTGGAACAAATATGATAATTCCTTAAGCTTTCTACTTGCAGGTGGGAAGCAGGACCAAAACCATTTGATGGTGTCTGGGCACCTTGGTGGTATGACAATGTACACAAATCAACATGTTTCACAAGACCAAGAAAATATCCTCTGGTACATTCCATGTCTTATCAATACATGTTACTAACTGTAAACATCAAATCTGCCCCCTGCAGAGATCTCTTTAACAATTCTTTTGCACTTCGCGTGGAAGTTTGCCTAAATTAGGACTCCAGGGTTTGTGTGTGTCAATTATTTGGGTTTGCTTCACCAGTATACCAGTGTAATATCTGACTTGTGTACGCCATGGTGAAGATAGATGTAATTTCAGGTATTATTGTTTAGACTAAGTTATTTCCTCAATCAGCACTTGTAAAAATGAGATGAAAGAATTATACATGATTAGTGCCGAGTGAATTATTCAAATGAGAGAAATAAATTTCAGTTATTATTTAAAAATGTTATTCCTCAATCAGAACTTGTTAAAACGAGATGAAAGAAGTGCACATGATTATTGCTGAGTGAACTATTGCTCTCAAGTTTTTCCCTGAATTTTGTCATTTATTTGCACTCAACCTGCACATACTTCTTGTCTTTCGCGATTTCACAAATAATGCACATTTTGGTGCTAAAAATCCATACATATGCATGACATATACAAGGGGCATAGGTATGATCTGGGGAAAAACTGCATCCTGGCTACCCCATAAACCTTTGTGTGAGACGCAGTCTGAAAGAAAAAAATCCATTTTTTATTTTGCCAGCCACTTCCATCATCTTTATATGAAGTACTGGAGCAGAGTTTGCCATTGTACAACATGCTAAGGCGCCGTGTAAAATGGAGGTCATCTTTGCCTCACCCAAGTCTTCCAGTTCCTGCCAATGACAAGCTGCTTTCTTGGGTTGGTGGTGAGATTGTGCCACGTGAAAGTGCAAAGGTAATATATATTCAAATTCATACAAAGAAAATTTCTGCTGAACGGCTGTCGAAACTGTGGTGTATACCATGCTTGTAAGGATTAAATCTGATCCTTGCTACCTTGTTAAGGTTTCAGTTTTTGACTCAGTTGTCCAAGGTGGTGATGCAGTGTGGGAGGGGCTTCGAGTGTATAGTGGGAGGATATTCAAGTTTGAGGAGCACTTAGATAGGTGAGTAGGAAAACGATCATGAATGTTTGTCTTTCTCTGCTTATTTGCTTCCTGCATATCTGGGATGTGTGAGCCAGGTGAAGCGCAATGAGCGAATGGGTAATTTTCTTAAGATTATAGTACATATGAACTGACAATTATATGTTCCTACACACAATGCTATAAATACAATGTCTTAGCCGTTTACTATCATGGAGGAGAAAGGCAGCTACCCAAATTGCAGACCTTTCATAGTTCTTTCTCTTTATGAATCTTCAATAGAAAAATCCAATTTTATCTGAAGGATGCTTCCCGGTTATGTGTTTTTAAAGGACCTTTAGTGGATTTTATACTCTTACACTATTCTGGGAACCAGACCTGAAATTCTTCAAAAATTCAGATTTCACTGCTTCTCTGAAACATATGCAGATTTCTTCATTTGAGCAGATTGTACATATCCTACTGAATGGTTAATCATTCTCTTACAAGAAGTTGACTTTATGTAATTCCTTCTGAATCTGTGGGGTACTTCATTGAACTGTTGGGTGTATATGAGATTTTGTATTTGCTTGTGTTTTTCTTAGATTATACCAAAAGTGGTTATTCCTGCTTATTAACTTATTTCAAATTCCTTTTCAAAAAAAAAAAAAAAAAACTTATTTCAAATTCATTAGTCATCACAGGTTTTTTTTTTTCTTTTTTTCCCATTTATTTTGGAAATTTTTTACTCTAGGAGATCCAAATGCTATTAAAAATTGAGTAAACAAATAGCAACTCAAAATTCACAAAGCTAAATCTATTAATGTGTGTGTCCCATTCAGGTTGTTTGACTCCGCAAAAGCTCTGGCTTTCAGCAATGTACCAACACGTGAAGAGGTAATGGTCCTCTTGTGTTCCGTGCCTTACAAAACTATACAGCTGCTGAACAATAGATCTCTTGAATTATAGCTTCAATGTGTCACTGGATTGCCACAGAATGTCTCATGTTGAGAGATTGATCTTGATGCATAATTATGCCACATCTTGCAGGTGAAGGAAGCAGTATTTAAAACCCTCATCTGTAACGCAATGTTTGATAATGCCCATATCCGATTAACCCTGACTCGTGGCAAGAAGGTTAGTGCTTCTTGTTACCTTGATCTTTACAACTTTGAGGTTATATAATTGTACTTGGTACACACTTTCTGAGGTCCTCTGCATATTGTCCTAAACGTTGATGACTGATTTACTGCTTTGGATTGTCCTAGTTTTTAATTATGGTATGATAGACGTATATTCATAACTTTAACCGACAATTGTTTTGGTTATTTACACAGGTAACCTCAGGAATGAGCCCCGCATTCAATCTTTACGGTTGTACTTTGATTGGTATGGTGCTCTCATTGTCTTTTCCCACAAGTGACTAGAAAATTATGACAAGTAATGTTAATATCTAGACATAAAAATACTCAAGTGTAAATAAAGGAATCTTGAAAATACAAGAAACACCAAAAGGAATGGAAGGCAGTTTTTAAACATGATCCATGGGATGTAGAAAAAAGCTTACAAAGCAATTTTTTGCATCTTATACTAGCAGGTGTAGAAAATTGGTTGGGGAGCATTTCGCAGCCAAATACCAACTGAATTTCAGTCTCAGTTTACACCATAACCACAATATCTTTATCTTCTTGATATTTAAATACATCGAAATGAATTGACGCTGCTAAGAAAATTTGATATCAATAGACAGCAGTGGTGGCTTGAACAGTTGCAATCTATTTGCTACTGTATATTATATTGCATTAGTATTACTGTTACGGCGTCATAGATGTTAACAAACATAAAATTTTCATCACATTCTGTATTGCTGATCTTTGCTGATCTTTGTATGAATCCTCGTACACTTCCAAAATAGATGCCTTATGATAAAGCATTATGTAATTTCCTAAGAGCAAGTGTGCATGGCTTCAGAATTGCCCTTTTTTTTCGCTCTTGGTAACTATTGACATACTACGATTTCAGGGTAGGGTGTTCATTTGTGTCCCTGCGGTAGTGTATCAGGCAAACACAATGTTTTAAGTCTGAATATAGCTTTCCTTACCAAAGAGAGTGCAATAATGTTGAGCTCTACAAGATTACTTCTCTTGTTTTGTTTCATAGCTTCCTGTCACCTACTAGAGGTGTATAAAGAAAATGCTTCTGAAAATCTATTGCATTGAGGTCTATACAGTCTTACATTGACTGTTAACTATGTTTCTCCTTGGGTTTTGTCAGTGCTTGCCGAATGGAAACCTCCAGTGTATGATAATACTCGGGGAATAACGTTAGTAACAGCAACCACAAGGCGCAACTCACCAAATGTAATGCCTCTATGAGCATTGTTCTGTGGTTCTTTGTTTTCTAATTGTTTGTCTTTCATGATACGATTGTCGACTCTTTTTAATACGATATCTGAAATTTTCACTTTCACTTGCATATTAGAACATTTGTGTGAAACTTCTTTATGTATCCAAATGTGTGTGATAGCAGAATTTGAAATAAAAATTAAGTACATTGGATAAATTCCAGGTATTGCTCAAGAAAAACAGTTGAATTAGACAATTTCTCCTCCTTTTTTCCAGCTTGCAGTTGTTTTACAGAGATCACTTTAAGTTAGAAAAACAAAAGATTGTAGAAAATAATTTAGATGAAACAAATGGCATCATCACTAGTAGTCTTGTCATGGCCACACGAGAAAGTAAAACATCCAATCTATCTCTCATGGTTGTATGCCATGCTTATGTTGAGCATTGCATAGTATTTCCCACCATTTTAATTGCAAGATGAATCAGATTAAAGTTTCAGGACAATAAGAAGTCATTACTGAATATCATTAATGGGTTTGGTTGTAGGCCAGCTCCTGGCGGAAATAGTGTTAGTAAATTATGTTTCTCTAGTATGAGGAACCCTGGCAAACTGTCTAGCAGTTATGTTTTGAAGAAGTTCTGTTCAGTTGTAAGATAATACAGCGTTGTTACCAAAAAAAAAGAAAGAAGATGATACTGCATGATGTGTAAATGTGGTCTTATCGAGGACCTCATACAGGATTAGTTTTCTTTGTTACAGCTGGAAAATAAGGTTCTGTCATCTTCTGTGAATTTTGACAGTTCAGTTTGGTAATTTCACAAGTCCGTCATAATAGTGTAGAATATTGAATTTAAATTTTTGAAAAGAGACTGTTTCATTAAGATGAATCTTCCTTTCTCCTGATTATTATAATAACATATATATATGTATATATTTCTGAAAATCTTACTCAGATGACATTATATTTATTGATGCTTTGCAGAATTTGGATTCTAAGATTCACCACAATAACCTTCTCAACAATATTCTTGCAAAGGTATGAGTTTAAAGTTCTGAAATGGTTATTCCAAACTTGATCGTTGGAGTAATAATAATTTATTCCTGATAATGGTTTACATCACCATGAAGCAGCAATTGTTATTTTTCATTTCCTGTCTGTTATGAGGGAGAATGAAATTGTACTCACATTATACATTTTTCACAATGTGGTGGCTTCTATAATCTTGCTGTTATGGCATTTCTAATAGTTACTTATCACCATTCTCGCTGCAGATAGAAGGGAATAATGCTAATGCTGATGATGCCATCATGCTAGATAAAGATGGTTATGTCTCAGAAACAAATGCGACCAACATTGTAAGTTTAGACTTTTCTGCTTGTTCGGCTGTTTATTTTCTTCACATTCCATTTTGAGTTTTAACGGATCATAGAAATTTCTTTTCATGAAAATGTGTAGTATCTGGTACATATTATTTTCATTAAATGATCAAATTCTCTCTGTTTCTCCCTCTTATTCAACCCTACGAGTTAGTTTTGGGTTTGTCATAGCCCTATTCTGATTCCTAAAAGCTTATCAATCTATCTACCAATACATGTATGTACATAGAAACAGTTGTATGGTTTTACAGTCCAGTTTTCTGGGTTCCGGATCTGCTGTATTTGATCCATCGTCTGAATGCATTTGATTCCCCTGACTTAGGATTCTTATATGCTGCTTGCAGTTTTTGGTAAAGAGAGGCCATGTTGTGACACCACATGCTGATTATTGTCTTCCTGGGGTCACACGAGCAACAGTAAGCTTAATTCTTTTCTTAATAGGGTTGGGGGACTTTGACAAGGGAGTGCTAAAAATTTCTTACCTTAGGCAAATTTTCTTTTGTTGCTTCATCTGGATTTCCCAGTTATTGTCTACAGACAGTTGTAGATGGAGAATCTTATAGGAATTTCTGAGAAGTGGGTTTTTTGATGAAATCACATTGTTTAGGACACGGGAACTTGTAGGTATCCCTGCATCAATGCTAATTTATGAAAAAGTAAAGGGATTTACCCGTTTGGTCTTGGTCGCATGAGGAATAGGGTAGGGCGAGAATTTTATGAAGCTTTTTACGTCCATGGTTCATGACAGCATTGGTATATTTTGAATGGATTGGTCTGTCTTCTTGGGTCCAAAGATACTGGCACCATAACTGGCTAAAACAATTTCATTCCTGCTGAAAACAGTTAGTTATATCTTTCTAATAAACAGTTGATTGGCTAACTTATCTTGCAGGTTATGGACCTTGTGGTAAAGGAGCAGTTGGATTTGCAAGAGCGGCGTATTAGCTTATCAGAATTTCATACAGCGGATGAGGTAAACTTCATTCATGAGCAGTTGGAATTCGTGGTTTCTTCTATCACTTATCTCTTGCAAATTTGACCCAAATCTCGTAAAATGAGATCTGCAAACTAGATGGAGCATGAACTGAATGGCCCTTAAGACACATAATTAAATTTTGATCTGTTCGCATGTTTGCATGTGCTTATTTAATGGAACCTACCGTTCTGGATAAAGACATGTGAAAAGTACAATAGGATTCAGAGGAGTTTACAGATTTATTAAAATGCCATTGGAAAAAATTACTGGCACGTCGAAGAATGTCCAGGAACATTTCATATTCTATTGAGCATTCTTAGAAAGTTGATTTCATTTACATTGGAAAATTCAACAACGCGGTTCTCTTTTTTGTTTTTCCACTTTTCTCCTTCGGAAATTCCTCTTTTAATTAGTATTTAAGAAAAGCTTTGGCCTGCAGGTTTGGACCACTGGCACCATGGGAGAGCTTAGTCCGGTATGTCCTTTAATAGACCTAAAACAGTGCTGGTACAAACTGGTCAAGTTCCTTCGAGAGATGTCTTTGATTCTAATGTTTATCAGTACTGTCTCTTACTGCCATCTAGTCTACCTGATGTGTGTTTGTTCATGTTCATTCAACCTGTGTCATTTTCCCATCTTTGATGCTTTTCTGACCTAATACATTTGGTAAATTAAACCAATCGGTGCTTCCAGAGTCCTGATTTCTCAATATGTTATATATAGTAGTGAAATAGAGCCTAGTTTAATAAATCTGGGACATTTTAGAATGAGATTGTATATCGAGGGTAATTTATGTTTAGTTTTCTCCACTTCTAGTGGACAGAGATATGGTCCATCTGTCGGTCCTGAAGACTCTCATGCCTTAACAAACGTGTCTGGTTTTGACAATATCTGATGAATGAAGCCTCGAGAACACTTTCTTGTGCTAGGTTATCAAAATCGATGGGCGTGTGGTCGGTGATGGCCAAGTTGGACCGGTAACTCAGAGACTGCAGAAAGCTTATAAAAAGCTAACAGAGGCATCAGGTGTTCCGATACCTACATATCAGAAGATCTAAAATTGAGATCCTCATGATTCTACAGATATGGCTTCCTTGAGCTTTCATCTTTTACACTCACTTGTTTCTGCCGCCTTCTGCAAATGTAATATTATTCCTTCTATTTATATATACCCAACATATTACTAACTATAATTTCCACATCCAATGTAATACTTATCATCTAATAATCAATAAAATCTTACATGTCCATGGAAATCATACAAATTTCCAAACTAGATTCCCTTCATTATGATGAAATTCCTTAAACCATTTGAAATGGTAGGATTCTGTTCTGATTGTTAATATAAAATACACATCCAGATATTATTGGACGATAATGTTTCACATAGATTCTTCAGTAATGACAATATACTAGTAATTTAATGAGGAATAGGAGCGGTATCAGTTACATTTTGGGTCGGTTGGGGTTTCTTGCAATAGCAGAAGGGTAAACACCACGGCCAGCAAGCCAACATCTTACGTCCATTCCTGGTTTGCTCCTTGCCGGTCAGAACTCCGTCACCAGAACCACCACTCAAACTTGAAACCTCGAAACCGGCCGCCTCCGGTGTAGCTGCGGAAGTGCTTACCTGGCTGGAAACTGCTAAAAAACCGATTAATACCACGGACATGAGAACTCTAAGGTTCGCCATAATAAGAAAAGAAAACACAAAAATTTATATGTGATGCTGACTACTGAGAGGTGAGTTTAGAATTATAGCTATAGAGTAGCCTTTTATATAGACATTGGTACAGTCTAGAATTTACATTTAATCCTTAGTGACCAATTTAATGTTGAGTATGTAAATTGAGTAAAGTAAAATAAAATTCAATCCTAGATTTCCGAAATTCAAACATCAACGGCGGCCCCTTTAACTACTGCTACTACTACTACAAGAAAAAAATACTTCTTGAAATAATGATAGTACGTTTTTTCTTTTCAAAAAAAAAAAGAAAAAAAAGAAAAAATGATAGTACGTTTTTAAAAGAATCTACATAACCCGAGACTGAATTCTTCTAACAAAAAAAAAAACCAAAAAACTCGAGACTAATACTTTGAAAGATTACATAAATATATATCAAGTACAGATTGAATTCAATGGAATTTCACATTATACAAATGTTAATAGTAATTTCACATTATACGAAATCGAGCTTTGTTTAATGGATAACAGCAGAAATATTACTATTGGCTACGTTTTGTGGATGATCATGATTTGGTTCCTTGTTCCTGCAAAAGCAGAGCGGCAAACACCTAGGCTGACAAGACAACATCTTGCGTCCATTTAAAGGTAGGTCGCCGTCCGGTGACAGTGTTCCCCCAAGAGAAGTACCGATCAAAATGGAAGGCGACGGCGATGGCGAAACGGTCACATTAGTTGCCGCTGCTGACGGCGTAGTTGCACAAACGATTAGTTGGCTGAAAATGGCTAAGAAGCCGATGAACACTATGGGAATGAGTGCTCTCGCATTTAACATTGTCGAAATTTTTTTTTATTTTTTTTTTGTTTGTATTTACTTTTGAGAAATGCTACTTATATCTAAAAAGGATGAGAATTACATTTATGAAGAGATGAGGTAAGAAGCTTAGTTGAGGGGGTACCATCATATTAAATATTGATTTTGTGAAGAAATGCTTACTAATTAATGGATATTCTTCCATTTCAAAATATAAGTCATTGTAGATTTTCCAACGTAAGCTAAAGATACAATCATTTAGCTATTGATTCGTATGTCAAATATATTTTATGTCCATTAAGTGAACTGGAATTACAGAGAAGACCAACTAAAAAATGAGTGAGTATCGTTTATTGAGGGAAAATTTGAGAAAATCAGTATTAATTTGGGTTAAAATTCTAAAACGATTTATATTTTGAAATATTGATATGGACTTAACATATTGAAATATGAACTTATGGAGAGAGTATCACAAAGGGGTTACAATAAAATTTATGAAGAAGTGAAGTAAGAAACTTAGTTGAGGAGGTACCGCCATATTAAATGCTGATTTGCGAAGAAATGCTAGCTAATTGTATATCACAAAAGGATGAGAATAACATTATTAAGAGATGGAGTAAGAATTTTTTTGAAGAGGTACCTCCATATTATGTGCTGATTTTTGAATCTAGGAAATATATTCTTTGTTTTTTTTGATAAAATATTACGTGTAAATGAATTATAAAACATATATTTAATTGTAACTAGATGCTTGCCCCGAGCAAATGCCCGGGGGCGTCCTCCCACCTAATAAATTAATATGTAAATAATTAAAACTGATTAGAAATGAATAAATGTCCGGGGGCGTCCTCCCACCTAATAAATTAATATGTAAATAATCAAAACTAATTAGGAATGCATTTAGTTTTTAATGAAGATAATTGATTGGTCGAAAATTAATTTTTTTAAAAATACTAAATAAGTGGAGAAAGAAAGTTCCATTCACTGTCAAATTCAAAATTTGAATGAACATGGACATCTGATCTTTTTGTTAATATTGTAAATATATTTTTTGTTTTTAAAAAAGAGTGACACGTGGCAGAATGGTTTATGCAATATGGTGCATTTGGAGCCAAAATCTTTTAATAAGAAATTGCCACATCAGCATCCTGTTTTCTGCTTTAATAGGGTAAAAGGGATGACACAACTAATTAAGACAATAAGACTCTAATTTTGTAATGAAAGAACTATAAATTAGACCTTATAAGCCTCAATGTTATTTTGTATATACACCTAAAGACAATATTTGAAAAATTAATACTCTCTTGTCCCCAAAAAATAATCTACATTAAGTTTTTAAATTTATTAGTATAAATATCAAAACTCAAATGTAGATTTCTTTTTTTGGGACGGAAGGAGTATAAAAATGTTAGCATCACTCTTTAATTCATTTATCTAGTACAAGTTTTGCCGTCAACAAAGATAAAATAAATACGACTTTGATTTTGGGTTAAAACTTTGTTAATCTAGCTGAAAACTGACTTCGCCTCACTTGGTAAAAAGACAATTTCTTTAAGGGAAAACTTTGACAAAATAATACTCCCTCAGTCCCATAATTATTGTCTAGTTTGAGTTTTCATTTTTAGTTCAAATTGTACTAAAAGTGAAATCTCAAACTGGACAATAATTTTGGGACAGAGGGATTACTAGGAGAAGTAGGACATTTTTGTTCCAATTTCACATAGCTAGCTTTCGCATACGTTCACACACAATTAATAGTCACTTTTGTAACTATATTAGTTATCAGTTAGTCTATCATTAATTCTTCTTTTTTTTTTTAATTTTTTTGACGGAAAAAGTTTAGCTATTAATTGTCAACCAAAAGACAACAGTAGTTGACTGTTAACTGTTGGAATGTATTTCTAAATATACATTTTTATAGTACACGAGTTAGAATAAATAAATAAAAATCCTTATCAAAATTAAAATGACCAAAGCGTAATGAAATTAACGTTGTACCAAGTTTACCTTGAATTTCCTAAAAAATCACTGCAGCATAATGAGTTGAATTGATAAAAATCTCAAGTTTGTTCCAGCTGGAAATTGAGCAGAAAATAACAAAAGAGGGGCTATTCTGTCTTCACATGTATTTTTCTTTTCGTAATTATGTCATGCAGTCAAATAGGGTTGCATTAGAAACGGGGGAGCCTTTGGCATATCGGGGTAGAGCTACATCTAATTTGAATAACAAATTACACTATACATTCGATTAATTACTGACAATTTTTATTGCACGGAAAATTGCAAATTGTATTATAAAATTAATTAGTACAGTACGATTTCGATCCCAATAATTATGGGACCATGTTAAAACAAACAAACGAACGTTAGTTGTTAAAGTAATTGGATATCCATTAATTTCATTTCAAAAGGCCTCCACCCAAAAAAAAAAAAAAAAAAAAAAGAAAAGATCAGACCAGAAAGGGCTGATAAAACAAGATATTGACATGACCAAATAAGGGTTCAACTAACAATACCAAATTGTAAAATTTGATTATTTATTCAAGAGTAAAAGAGATTGTGTCCATCAATGGACGATAGAAATATTGGACGCATTTTGTGATGGCGTCGGTTTCACACAATAGCAAGATGGTAAACACCAACATAACATTTTGCGACCTAAAACAGATTGATCCTTGGGGATTTCTCTCCGCAGAGAAGCAGCAACGAAATTTGAAGATGAGTCCACATTCACATTATTAGTTGTGACTGGTGTAGCTGTAGAACCCATCATTTGGCTGTAAATTACCAATAGGCCGATGAACACTGTGGGTATGAATACTTTGGAATTCGCCATTGCTTGTTAAAAGGATGGCCAGTAGTAAGGGCTCATTATGTAGAGACATTAATTTATAGGAAAACTGTAGGGGGACGACCATTATAATGGCGGATTTGGTGAATCTACAAAGCCTTTATTAGTTATCATAACATATTTTATGTATTGTATCTGTTGTAGAAAGGAAAAAATAATTGACAGTTACTCATTTGTCAGTTACGCATCTTGTTAAATAATACCTTTTTTTTTTTTGAAAATGTAAATATATTGCATAAAAGACTTGACAGTGCATATTTACAACCAAAGAAAAACACTACTACAACTCATCTTTCATTCTGCTCTATAAACTAATTCTATACTTTACAAAACAGCTGCTGCAAAATTTCTTGTTCCTTGGCTGAATATGGTAGCCCTAAACAATTTTGAACTCGCCAATATACCTCGTGTCTAATCATTTGAATTAACTGGCTACTACTTCTCTGTTTTCTAATAAATCCAAAAATTTCACCTCTGACTATGAAATACGAATGCACCCCACTATCCCTGTTAATCATTACTCCGATCCTGAAGGCCAATGAAATAGGATCGAAATCCTATAATATTATCCCATGCTAATGTATCCAGAGCGTAGGCTTGCTTTGAACACTCTAATTTCTTCAAAGCAACAGTGTCGGAGGAACGACCGGGCCAATTAAGGCCAGGAGCGCATCGCCGACCATACCTGCAGCTCGGTGGAATTGTACTACTAGGCGGACAACTCGGCACTTCCGCCGGTTAGCCAAGCCCATGACATGAGCCCTTGGGAACCACAAGGTCCTTACTGCGGGTCGGCAAATGGGCGGCAGGCGCATGCGTCGTTGCTAGCCCGGATTCTGACTTAGAGGCATTCAATCATAATCCAACGCACGGTAGCATCTAGCATTTCTTTCTTCCCAAAGATGATATATCAGAGCAGAAAATACAGCAAAAAATACCTTTCTCTTCAGTTTGGAATTCCTCCAAGTACTCAAAATTTTCCTCCTCCAGCCATTCTGATGACAAGAAATCTGAAGCTTTAACCGCTGATTCACTTCATTCAACACTTCCTTTGAAAATTTGCATTCAAAACACTAGTGCAATTCATCTTCTTGCTGTTGATGTCAAAATTCACATTATGGATCAAGCTGTGGAACCATGAACTTGTTAAGCCTGTCTTTGATTTGCAGTCTGTTCCTCCAACACAGCCAGGTTATAAACGCATGCTTCGGCACATTGTAACGTGCCCAAATAAAAAATGCTCCTGAGAACTGCTGCTAGTCCCCCATTAACCATCTATATCCTGAACTGATAGTATATTTCCCGGAAACAGTATGATTCCACCTGTTGCCTGTCACTTGATCCTTGATCCTATCTCTTAGTTTCAGCAGCTTTTTCCAGTGCCAACTGAAATCTAACTTTGGTTGAACCTCCCACAAACCATATTTCTTTAAATAAACCCCATAGATCCAATGCACCCACAAGTTATCAGCTTTATTGGCCAGATTCCACACTTGTTTCATCAAAGCAGCTTCATTCCACCTTTGCGCATCCCGTATGTTCAAACCTCCCTCCTTTTTTAATCTACAAACCAAATCCCAGCTCACCAGAGACACACTTCGTTCATTTTCCTTCACTCTCCAAAGGTATTCTTGGCACATTTTGTTTACCTGCTGTGTTATGCTTTTCAGCAGAATAAAAGCTTGTGCCCAGAAATTATTCATCATCATCAGAACAACATTAACAAGTTAAAGACCCACTAAGGTGCCTTGAACTCCAGCATCGAATTTTAGCTGACATTTTCTGGACTAAAGTGTCACATTCAGTCTGATTCCACTTCCTCGGGGAAATTGGAACACCCAGGTACTTCATGGGAAAGCTACCTTCCTTGAACCCCGAAATATCCAGAATCTGCTGTTTAAGTCCCTCAAAAACGCCTCCAAGATACACTGCTGACTTGCTAGGATTTGCACCAAACCTTGTAATTTGAGTGAATTCCTGCAAAACCTGCATGATTTTCTGCATTGTATATACGTCAGCCTTGCAAAAAATCATCAAATCATCTGTAAAGCAGATGTTTGTAAATTTTAGCATTTTACACTGTGGATGAAACTTAAATTTAGGATCATTAGCAGCTTCTTTCAGCATCCGAGTTAAATACTCCATTGCCATAACGAATAGTAATGGTGACATGGGATCACCCTGTCAAAGACCTCTTCCACCAGCAAAATATCCACAGTTTTCGCTATTGAGCCCTAATG